GGTTTTATCCATCATACAGCACAGATACAGAATTGAGTTCGATACCGTGCCCCCACTGGGACTGATCCGATTTACGCCTCAGTCATCAGTTCTCGTTGACGAAGTTCAACAGCTTCTTTGTAAAGGAACGATTCGACATTTGCACGCTCCGAGGGGCTCCACGACTTCTACTCATGATATTTCACAATCCCTAAGCGTGATGGTCGTCTTCGTCCAATTCTGGACTTACGTGGCATCAATAGGTTTATCAAAACCAAAAAGTTTTGGATGACCACCTTCAAAATATCCTTCTGTTGCTTAGGAGAGAGGATTGGTTTGCTTCTCTGGACTTGAAAGATGCCTATTTTCACATTACCATTCACCCGTCCCACAGGCATCTTCTTCGATTCACCATCAGTTCCGACCTGTTTGAGTCCTTCCATTCAGACTGGCTACTGCCCCCTGAGTTTTTATGAAGTGCATGGCCCCGGTGTGTGCGCATCTTCAGGTCCAAGGCATTCAAGTGTACCCCTACCTGGATGACTGGCTGATCGTCTCTCAATCTAAGGAAGGCCTTCGGTCATCAATTCAAACTATTTGTGCTCTCTTGGACAATTTGGGGCTATGCATTAATCAGGAGAAATCATGCCTTACTCCTTCACAGGTCATCAACTTCATTGGAGCCCGTCTAGATTCCACGCTGACGAGAGCCTTCCTTCCACAAAATCGACAGGACAATCTGTGTTCATTGATCTGTCGAATCCACATGGACAGAGCTGTTCCAGCACTCTCAGTGCAGAAACCTCTCGGCCATATGGCCTCTACAGTATCCACAGTTCCCCACGCCAGGCTATGGATGAGACCACTCCAGTTGTGGTTCAATGGACTGCTTCAACCTCAACGAGACTTGCCTCACCGTCTTCCCTGCCTCCCGACCTCCGTCCTCCAGACTCTATCTTGATGGACTACACGGCACAATCTGTCCATGGGCATTCCATTTCATCTGCCTCACCCAAACTTGACTCTGTTTACTGATGCCTCCCTTACCGGGTGGGGAGCTCTATGTGCCATTCTCCATACACAGGGCACCTGGGACCGTCAGGAGGCCACCAGACATATCAATTGCCTCGAACTCCTGACAGTCTTAGAAACATAGAAACATAGAAAACAGAGCGAGTCAGAAGGGGTCTCCCAGGTCATCTAGTCTGACCTCCAGCACCAGCCTTCAAAGCCCTTTGATCATTGGAGGACTGTCTTCGGTGACACGTTGTTCAGATTGCCTCCGACAACATTGTTGCTGTATTCTATATAAAAAAACAGGGCGGGAGGAAATCCGCCCCCTTGGCCCACCTGGCAATGCAACTGTGGGACTGGTGCATCACCAGGGAGATCACTCTCCTGGCCAGTACTGACAACAAGGAGGCTGACGACCTCAGCAGGCAGATGTTGACGACCCACAAATAGGAACTGGATCGTTTGACTTGCCATCGCCTCTTCTGGACTTGGGGCTCTCCGGACATAGACTTGTTTGCCACTTGCACGAACAAGGTGTGCGAGGTGTTCTGCTCTCATGCCGGCATTGGCCCAGGATCGACGGGGGACGCACTCATGATCCCTTGGACGAACACATTCCTTTATGCGTTTCCCCTGATCCTGCTCATAATGAGGGTCCTAGCCAAGATTGCCTACGACAGTGCCACGGGGATCCTGATCACCCCCTGGTGGCCCCATCAACCATGGTTCCCTACTCTTCTCTGCCTATCTGGCAGCACTTTTCTCCACCTGCCTTTCATACCTCATCGGATAACTCAGCAGTGCAGAGCTGTTTGCCATGGGGATCCTCCTTCACTCAACCTGACAGCCTGGCTCATTCAATGATCACGGGGACCCTTCGGTACCAGCCGATCCCGGGACTCCCATACTTGCTCGACATCGTCCCGATACAGCCTCTCCTTCCCTGCTACTGATAGACTCCTCATCGAACCTGAGCGCTCTCCATCCCGATATCCAATTCATTCTTCAGTCTGCCCTAAAAGCTGCAATTCACCGGTCTTATGTGGCCAAATGGAAGCGCTTCACATCCTTTGCTGAATCCAACGATTTTGCCGTTTCTTTGGCCTCCGTTGAAAATGTCCTTCAATTTCTCTTACTGGGACTTAAGCCATCTTCCATTAAAGTTTATAAAGCTGCAGTCTCCCACTACCATGGACAGGTGCACGGTTCTTCTATTTTTTCTCATACCCTCATATGTCGATTCCTCAAGGGTCTACAGAACCTTCAGTCACCATTTCGACCAGTTATTCCTACTTGGAGCCTCTCAGTCATCCTCCAGGCACTCACTTGAGCTCCTTTTGAGCCCTTGGCAACTACTGACTTTGACAACTATTGACTGCCCTTGGCAGTCTCCTGTCTTGAAAGACTGCTTTCTCGTCACTATCACGTCTGCCAGAAGGGCTAGTGAACTCTGCGCACTTCAGATAGATCCTCCTTACTTTAACTTTCATAAGGAGAAAGTCGTTCTCCGCACTGATCCAACGTTCTTACCTAAAGTCATGTCTCCCTTTCATATTAACCAGGACATTGTGTTACCTGCCTTTTTCCCTACGCCAGCTACACCAATAGAACGGTTCTTGCATGCTCTCGATGTCCGTCGCTGCCTTGCCTTTTACAGGTCTCGCACGTAGTCCTTCCGTAAATCTAACCACCTCTTTATTAAATACTCGGACCATGATAAGGGCTCTCCCATCAGTTTACAGAGACTTTCAAAGTGGATTGTGCAGACCATTGAGCTAGCGTATCAGCTTGCCAATCTTGACTTATTGGCGAGGGCATTCCACGAGGGCGGTAGCTGCTTCCTCTGCTTATGCCACTGGAATTCCGATCCAGGACATTTGCAAGGCTGCCACTTGGACTACTCCTTGCACCTTTGCTAGGCATTACCACCTTGATGTGCGTGCCAGACACGATTGCTCCTTCGGCCAGGCAATCCTTTCTTCTGTTCTTAAATGATGACACCGCCCGCCTCCGGGTCTGGTAAGCTTGTTAATCACCGATATTTGTGATGCACAGAGGCCACGACGAAGAAAGGCAGGTTTCTCACCTGTAACTGTCATTCTTTGAGTGGCCATCTGTGCATTCACACAACCCACCTGCCGGCCCCACTTGGTGTCGGTGAATGGGTTTATACAGTACTGTTTCTCCTTGATAACGGTTTTGTTAAAAAAAAAATTCTCTCAGGTTCAGCAGTTCCCTGCAATGTCTCTCACTCCTGCGAGGGGGCAAACAATTGGTCTTCAGTAGACTGAGGAAATGGCGGGCACTCCACCCTTTTATAACATGGGGGGGTGGGGTGCGGAGTTCCCACCAAAACCGTTAAGCTTTTGAATCTTTCTGGCCATAGGCACTGCGCAAGGTGCAGCACCCATATGTGTGATGCACAGATGGCCACTCAAAGAGCGACAGTTACAGGTGAGCAACCTGCCTTTTTGTGTTACTTTTAAGCTGGCATGCCAGGGCTGTTCCTGCAGTTCACACACACACATTTAAAAAGTTCAGATGGGCATATAATCAAAATTAACGCAACATTAGATCTGATCCATCGAATGCAAGTAGATTGTGCTCCATTGAGCCGCCACAGAGTTGCTTCAAGTTGTAGTTCAGCACATGTGGAGGGTATCTGGTTGGGGAGCATGGAGGCATGGGAGCACTCCCGCTTGGCAGCTTCGCTCTTCTTGTTGTCTCTCTAGCTGCAGGAACCTCAAGCAAGCCTCCAGCAAGCTTCATCATTCTCTCCTCCACACACCTGGTATTGTTTGGATTCTAGGCAGCAACCCTGCCTATTCCTCATGAAGAACCAGGCATCATGTTATGTCCCTCATGCAATGCTTTCTAAAGTCATTGGCTTTTGCAGTTGGTGTCCTGCACTCTTCCCTTTTCTTACTGTTGCTCTGTGGGACCTTTGGGTGTGTCCACCTTCCTCCTGATCTCTGGGTGACCCTAAGCATGGACTTCTTTCTTTAAACACCTTCTAGGAAATCTCGTGGCAGTGCCCATTATCACCAGCTTCCTTGTTACCGTATCTGTTAGTGGTGCACCTTGTTGCTCACTCTCCTCCTCCTCTCTGCACCAGAGCTGCTGTGTCATAACTTCCCCTCTGCTTCTTCAACACTGATCACATGCCTGCCTAATTGTGTGGGCCCCTGGCCTGCAGGAGTCTCAAGGCCATTGTTGTGAAATGACGGCATCAGGATGGCCTCGGAGTCTGGCTTCCAGAGACTGCAAGAACCCTGTGCCCCTCAGCATCACGCCCCTGTGTGGATTTCCTTTAGGATACCCATGAGCCATTCATAACTCAGCTGTGTAATTGGGGATTCCTTGACAATCTGCTTGATTTCTTTCCCACACACTTTTTGGGTCTGCAGGGTAAAGGGCACAGTTTTGATCTGCTGCAATTCAGGAGGCTCCTGTCACTAGATTAGCCCTCTTGAAGTGCAAAGTTCTTGCAAATGCACCAAGCAGAAAGTCAGGAAAACAGGAGCTGAGTGCACATAATGGCAAGTTTGCTCCTGGGATGGGGCATCTGCAGCTGGCACAAGCAGTCAGCGGATCCATGCGAGGACACCACTATAATCTGCCTCTTCCATCTCACCAGGGAAACCGGCCTGTGCAGAAATGTGTCAGGAAAATAGAATTCCAGCCCATTCTCAGGTGGCTGGAGCTGGTGAGCAGAAGTTGCTACTCTCTTCCTCTAAAGCAGCCTTCCCCAACCTGGTGCCTCTTCCAAGTGTGATGGACTATGATCCCCATCATCCCCTGCCATTGAACTTGCTGGCTGGGAATGCTGGGAGCTGCAGTTCGACATAGCTGGAGGAGTACCCAGTTGCAGAAGGCTAATCTAAAAGGGTGACCCAGAACAACCACTAAAAGTGATAAATTCTTGGATTTTAACAAGAAATGTTGCATTACAAACTAACTTTTAGATATTTTGTACATTCTAAAGTGGCTACTTTGTTATTTTCCAGGAATTTATTTTATCAGAAGATTACAACAAGATGGCACCAGTTAAAAGTTACCAGGGTAAGAGTTGCAGTTAATATTCGTAGAAAAAAAGGGTTGCTTTGGGTCTTATTTTCTTTGCCACACAAGTTTTCAGAATTAGGAGCCAAGCTGATTATTGAGTTTTAGACCTGCTCTTAATAATATCTGGCAGTTCTGAAAATGGTGTATATTTTAGGATGTGCACATTTTAGGATGTTTTCTGGCATGGTGCATATTTCAGGATGTTTTTGCAAAATGGGAATCCTCACCAGACATAAATCCATTCTCTTCCAATGTTAGGCTAGATGTTACAGGTTAGGAAATACAGTTTGGCTACCATTATGCAAAATGTTTGAGCAGCATCGTTTTTAAAGTGGAAGCTGATTTTTTCTTCAAATATGCATAGCAAGAATATTAAATGTATTAAATGAATTGTAAAATACCCAGGCCTTTGACCCCTTGCTTTTGTTTGGAAATTTATTCATACAGATATGTGAAATCCCCTTATGATTGTAAAACCTGAACATTGGAGGACAAATTACTATTATCACATTGTATTTATATCCCTTTTTTTCCTCTTGTGGAATATATAGCTTCATTTTATCCTTACATCAACAACCCTGTGAGGTAGGCCAGGCTGAGGGTGCTTGACTGGCCCGAAGTCACCCAGTGAGTTTCCTGGCCACGTGGGGACCAGAACTCAGATCTTCAGGGTCCCCAGTCCAACATTCCCACCACCATGCCACAAATGAGGTTGTTTGCCCACAGCCCAGACACTGGCAAACTTTTCCTGTCAAGGGTAGCATTCCCTCATGGGTAATCTGTTGGGGAGGCTTGCATTGACAGTGGACAAGGTAGAAGTCCATGGTGATGTAGCCACATCCAAAAGTTGGCTGCCTCTTTTCTCTCCTTCCCACTTCCTTTCTGCCCAGCAGGCTGCAACAAGAAAGGCCGAATGCACTTTTCATAGGGCTGAGCTGATTGCATGCTGACTGCTTTCAAAAGGAGTCCAGGGGGCTTAATTTGGCTGTAAAGTCTGGCTACCATTGTGCCAAAAGTTTGAAACACCAACATTTTTTTAAAAGCAGAGCCACCCTTCCTCACCCACTCAGCACCTTTGGAAGAATCAGACAGGATTATCACAAGGACAGGCTTAAAAGCATGAAAACAACCCTCTCACTGATTTCAAATGGCAACACTCTGGGATTCTTATTAGAATAATGCAGTTCAGTATGTTGTGTTTGTTCCATATTTTGTGGCTTGTAACGGAAAAAACTTGCCCAGTCTCCATTCTGAAGACAAACCCTTTCAAGGTTCCAAGTGTGTAAATAAACAAAGCAATGAAATAATCTGTACAGCTAATGGTTTTGGTTATTGGAGAAATACTGAATGTACAGAGCAGAGAATATTTTTGGAAAGCGTATGCATTTTAAAGTGAAGAGAAAGGGGATTTGTGCTTTGAACTTGCAAAAGGCGAGTCATTGAAGTGATTGTTTTAAGTGTGGTGCTTGTATGTTGAAAGCTTTTTGAATTGTGGGCAAAGGAACAGACACTTTAGTTCTTCCAGGCCTCTGGCTTTTTAGTAGTACTCCTTTTAGTGTCATTTTCAAGCGTATCTGAAAACACAGGCAGCCGCTTTTGACACCAAAGCCCTCTTTTGTCACATACCCGCTTTTCCTTTTGTGTCAGCTTTCCTTGGCTCCCTGGTAGGATATCCTACAGAACAGCCTTTGTCAATCTGATGCCCTCCTGATAATTTGGATTATAATCCCATCATCCCCAGACATCATGACCATGACCAGGTTGTTGGAATGGTGGGATTTGTAGTCCAGCAATCCATATGGGGGTGCTGGGTTATGGGAGACTGCTCTGGATCCCCCAGCTTTCTCTTTGCCCTGGACCCCAACACTTCAGTCCTTGTGTGAGATTGGAACACCCCAAAGCATGTTGCTTCAGAATGGAAGTGTTATTTCTGTAATGCCAGTGGGAGTAGAATTGGGCACTCTGCTACGAGAGGAGATAACCTTCAAGAACAAAGGCCAGTCAGAGTTGTGGTTCGGTAACCAGATACCACGTGTGAATCAGATTATTAAATAAAAGCCATACTTCCCTCTAGCTTTAACAAGTGAGAATGAAAATGGAATTATTTGCTCCACTGGGCTAGAGCCAGGAAAATTAAGCATGTACCTCGTGCTGAACATGTTATAATGTGCGGAGGGCATCTAGAGTGGATTGCAGTCACTTGAATGAGTGGCATACAGAACTGACAGCAGATACTTCTGTTCCCTTCATTCTCTGGTCAGTTTAGTCACTCTGTCTGGGAATGATGGGAGTTGTAGTCTAGCACATCTGGTGGGCACCAGAAGTGGTGAGCTGACACTACATGGAAAGCAAGGGTAATTTATTTTCTTGCATCACTATCTATCATGTTAAGTTTTGTAGGCCTGGTGGCGGAACGTTGCATTTCATGGAGATTTATTTTGGAGGGTTGTACACACCACTCCCCTACTTTTCTGTTCTATGGAGTTCCATCCAATTGGCTTCTTCCCCATGGGATTGGGCATATGCTGGGTTGAGTCTTGCCAGTCCTCAATCTTCCACTGAAGTTTCTTGAACCACTTTAAGGAATACATGAAAATAATGGAGATTAGAGTATTGTGGAAGTCATGTCAGGGTTTCTTGAAGGGAAATAGAAGCAGAGATGGAGAAAAGGGACAGAGAAATTATTGTGCAGAATATTCATGTCTTTCTTCCCCTGACATCAGCTCACCAAGGCAGGGTACTGATGGTTCTGTTTGTTCTGGAAATGGAATGGACCCTGAGCATAGGGCAAGACAAGAACTTCACCTGGCATTGTTCAGAAAGTGGGCACCGGCTTGGTAGTTACCGGATCAATGCGGGCGCCTGTGGACTACAGTATCCTTCATGGCAATCGTGGCATGACCGTATTTTGCTTTCTTTGATTCATAATCATTATGATGAAATTTCGATGCACACCATAGCCTGCTGAAACTCCTATGATGCTGAGCATCCAATCTGTAAATGCAATTTTATCACCTTCAGTTACAGCATGATTTCATGTTTCTGCTATATTGTTACTGACATTGAAATTTGACCATGGAATCAAGGGTGCTTAAATATCTTGGCAGTGTCTGTCCTATACCAAACCATGCACAACATTTTAGGAACCAGATAGACAGCAAATTATTTCTGATGGGGGTTAAAGATGAACATGCATCTTCCATAACAGACAAGGTATATTTGAATGAATTCTTCCTAAATGTCTCCATGCTTTGTGCTTTTTTCAGAATATGTGGCACTTACCTTGGAAAGTAAATTTTACTTTATCTGTGCAGCCAGTGAGAAACAAGCTAAACTACCTTTCCCGTCCTTTAAGCTGAAGAGTGGGGACAACCCAGGTGAGGGGGCACTGAACTGTGCCCCCAAAGCTACACTGCCTAGGCCTGCCCTTCTGCTGAATGCCTCTCTTGGCTGGGGCATCACCAACCCGCACCTGAGGAATGTTTGCAGAGGAGAGAGAGGAAGTGAGAAATCTGAGCTGCTGCCGCTGCTTTTCCTGGAGTGGAAGGGGCAAGCAATGCTGAGGGTGGGAGAAGGAGTGGGGGAAGACTAGCAGTTTGTCCCCTAAGCCGTACATCCTGTGCTTAAGCCAGCATGGCTGTGTGCTGACCTTTCTTTATCAGAAACCTCTGACAGAGCAGGGTGAGGTGCAATGTGTAGATTTATCAGAGCCATCTGCAAATAGCAGCTACTCAAGCTGACTTACAGAATCATACAGTAGAATATTCAGAACAAGGCATTTTTCATGACTGAACAATATCCAACACAGCCACTCTGCAATCACAAGTGCAAAGGCACTCCTAGCTCAGTGCCAGCAGCATGTGCTGATGCGACACTTTTCCATGGAAAACCCTTCATGCCCGCATACACTGTTAGTGCTGCACTACAGGTCACTTGCATTAGTGCTGTGTGTGTGTGTCAAGCAGAGGCAGCACTGGATATGGCCATGTGGATCTGCTGAGAGAGACTTTTTGGGAGGGCTTTCCTCTGGGTCCCTACCAGCCTACAGTCTTGTACACGTGTACAGTCTTGTACACTACAGGTGTACAGTCTTGTACAGTACAGTAGGGATACAGAGCAGTGCCTCTCCCAGGGACTTCTGCAAAAGGCGGGACTCACACTGGAAAAGGTACATGCTAAAATCCATCTGTTGTTTCTGGTCATCACTCTTCACACATAATGCCCATCAGCCCAGCTGTCAGAAATGCACAAACACAGTGAAGGAGAACTGAATACTGGGACCTTGGCCATGTTTTACAAGAGTGCACACAGGAAGCCCTCTTGCACTGGCCAGCTGTGCACAGCCAGAAGGATTTTGGTCTGGGCCTTTTCACAGTCATTTGCTTGTAAATGCTAATAGGCATTGGACAATCCTATGTCTTAGTATACTTGGAATCGATATTTCGCAGGGTTACTGAGGAAGTGGGCTGTGTGCAGTACAGCAGGGCACAAGAAATTCCCCCCTTGCCATTGCAGCCCCCTGCACTTCCTCCCAAGGGCTCTCCCTCAAAGTAGGAGGACCACTAGGAGCTTGAAGTACCCCCACCTGGCCTTTTGTGCTACCTCCTGCCCTGTACCCATGGCGCTGCACTGGATACACTGTAGTGCTCTTCGTCAATGCATATATTTTAGCAGTGATCTGGATTGTAAGAGTTGTACCTTTGCCTTTGGCAAAACATTAAGAACATTGTTTGGAAAGCAGCTCTTAGGATTTCAAAGCTGTCTTTTCCCTATCTTGGATAATCTCAGCTTTCCCCCCTTATGTAAAGCATTGTTGCAGTGAAGAGCCCTTGCTGAAGCTGGTTGTCTCACAGCATAGTGCCATGGTGGTGGGTGCCCAGTAGCCACTTGATTTCCTTAGGAAAAATAACCTGAATTTGAAAAGCTTGACAGCCTTGGATGCTGCGTTATATAAATGTGAACCTTGTTACATGGGATGTCAGTGTGGCAGAATCTGAGCAGATCTAAAGTCCTCCTCCTCTCCCAAGGGTGAGACTTGCACACTTTTTGTTGTGCGGGGATTTAATGGCAAGCTGAGGCAAAGGTTGAAAAACGCTCCTTTTGAGGGCCAGTAAGTTTGTTGGGGTCAAGCAGACAAAACTGGACTGACAGTTGTGATCATGGCGATGCCCTGCTTTGGGCAGTATTCCCAGGGCCTGCTAGTTGAGTTCTGCTGGTTCTACCTCTTGTAACAGCCCTAAAGATTAGCAATGGTCCTTTTGAGGGCTGCTGTACAAACTTGCACACACATGAATTTGAGTTGAGAACCTCTCCTGGAATGTCTGTAAGCTTTCCTGAGCTCTTTCTTCCTTGCCAGATTTGATGTGGAAACACGGCATGTCTTTATTGGTGACCATTCTGGACAGGTAACCATCCTTAAACTGGAGCAAGAAAACAGCAACCTGATAACAACTTTTAGGGGGCATACAGGTATGGTTCATAGCCCGTTTGGTCCTTTTGGATTGTTCTTTATGATCAGCACTAAAGGACATGGTATATGTAGGTAATTCTAATTTATTCTTGTGTCAGGGTGTGGGCCCTGATCTGGACTGAGACCATCAGAAGCAGGTAGAGGTTGTTAAATATTCCAAAGCAGACTTTTTCAGTTTCATCTATGTATATGAGGACTAAAGAAATTATTTCTTTCTGTGGCTCCCACCAGGTGCATGTTGGGGAACATCAATTTAAAGAAAAAAGTAGCCAGGTGGGTAACGGTTTAGGCCCGTTACCTGTGAGTGCGCTTAGAGATGTTAGAATCATACCATCCATTTAATATACCACGTAGCTAACCAGTGAGTGCAGAAGAAAGAAGACTGTGGGATGCTTTGGGAGAGCTGTATGTCATCTTTTCGAGTTCAAGTCACTGTGAAAATTATTTCAGTCTTAGCTATTTGCCTGCCTTGTACTTGTGGCTATGCAAGACATCTGGAAAATCACAGTGCCACATGGGCTCGGTCATATTTCTTAACCCACACTTTCTCCAGTGGTTTCTCTGGTTTCTTCCAACTTTGCATCAAGCCTAGATTTGCCATGCAGGAAGGAGAAAATGAAGTTTAGGAGGACAGACAATTTAAGCGTAGATAGGAAGTGGCTGCCAGGACAAAAACTGGGGTGGGAATGGGTGCAGGCTCCTCTAAGAGGAGGACTTAGAGGAGGCTAAGAGGAGGGCAGGACTTGGAGTGTTGTGCTTCTAGCAGAGGTCATATACTGCAGTTCAAGATCTGGGTCATAGGAAGGATTTGAAGCTCACACGAATTCATGAAAATCATTTCCTTCTACTTTGGGAATCCAAACCTGGGAGGGTTATTAGCCGGCTTTTCTCAGCAGGTTGTGTTCAGTATAAACTTGCTACAGATAAGACTTAGTTCTTTCTCACTTGTCTGCAGCATTTTGACTGGAGTTTAGAGCTGCTGTTGCTTTAGGCAGTGCAGGTCTGAAGACTGGCTGCAACACTGCCTTCTTGAACACGGTGTCTTTCCTTCCCATCCAAGTGCTGTCAGATTCAAAATGGAGGTTGAGTCAAGGAATATTTTTGCCAAAGGAAACTGCATTATCTGTACAAAGGATGTACTTTGTCTGCAGGCTTCCCAGATTTTTCATGTTTTTTCCAAAAGCATTTGAATCTCTAACCACTTGACAGTGATCTTTTGATTTTACATGAGCTTCTTTCTTTTGATAACAAGCAAAATCTCCCTCCTCTCTTTTCTCTCTCCTGCCTTAACATTTTCAGGTGGAATCAGTGCCCTGTGTTGGGACCCTGTGCAGCGTGTTTTATTTTCAGGCAGTTCTGATCATTTGATTATCATGTGGGACATTGGAGGAAGAAAAGGAACAGCCATTGAACTACAAGGGCACAGGTACAACAGGCAGCTCCACAGCTTCTCCTTGAAGCCTCCCCCAGATATGATCCCACCCACACACTTGGTTTCTTGCTTTCTGTTGTTCCAACCTGGTGCCCTTCAGATGTTTTGGCCTACAACTCCCAGTATTTCTGACCACTGATCATCTGGAAGGCAGCCAGCAGCAAAAGGCTGGCTTGCGTAGAAGTTTCTCATTCAGAATTGGGACTAATCTTACATTTTCAGAATGAATGAATTTCACAAGCAACCCTTAAATCAGTGCAGGCTCTCTCAGAGTGGATTAATTGCTCTGAGAACAGCCAGACCAGGTGATGTGGATGTTATGCTGTACTGACAGAGTGGAATGATGGGAGTTGGAGCAGAGCACCAAATTGGAGGAGAAAGTGAAAATCCAGTTTCACTTACATACACACAAACTGACCTCCCCAAACAAAAAACTGGAGTGCTTGATCTTTTTCAGACTGCAAATCATTCTGTCCCTTGAGGTTGATGGGCAGCTTGGCTATCCCTAAATCCACTTTCTGTTTTAATAAGTGTGGTTGAGATGCCCACGTGGGTTATACTGAAGTTGGACCAGAGAATCCTGGGTTCAAGTTTCTGTTCAGTGAAGAAACTCACTGGATAACACTGAATAAGCCAACATTGTTCAGTCTGACTTGTATCCTTTTTAGCTTCCTAACACTCCCACGTGGCTTCCATATGGGCATTCTAAATAGATAAGCTACCTTTCCTGAGAAAGATGGCGTGCATGTGTGAGGTATACATTTGTGTTCGAATATGAATTATGTATTTGGAAACACGCCTAGTCTTTTTGACTAATTACTGTTTTCAAATACTAGGTCAGGCATTTCAATGAAGAAATTGATTTGTTTTTAGTTAGTGGGAGGAATGTTTGGAGGCAGTTGCATCCTGCAGTCATAGCCTTTCCAGGCCCAAAAAACAGGCTTTCCAATTGTATTTTCTTTAAAAAGTAGCTCCAGAATTAGCCCATGGTTTGCCATTACATGTGAACCAAGTTGATTGGCCATGTCTACTGATGGCAACCAGTTTGTGATTATATCCAGGACAGCTTGCAAAATTTCCAAAAGTGCCCACAAAAGTGCCTAACCATGATTTAGTACCTTTTGTCCTGGAAGACTGTAGGGAATTGTGCATAGAATCAAGCAGATTGTGGAGAAATGTGCAGTGACTTTGCAGCTGAGGTCGCTGCAGCTCTCCCAGTCAATACTAGAATTTGTGTGGCGCACTCAATTTTGCCAGCCTTTTGCTGATCCTGTACAATTCTGCATAGCAGGACTCAGCTCTGTGTGTGTGGGGGGGGGGATAAAATTGAGGTTTTCAAATTGTTCATCATACTCACAGATGTCTTCTAACTGTTTTCTGTACACAGTGATAAAATTCAGTCGCTTTCCTATTCCCATCAAACACGGCAACTTATCTCTTGTGGAGCTGATGGAGGGATCGTTGTCTGGAATATGGATGTGGAGAGGCAGGAGGTGCATACTCAGTTCTTCTCCTTAACCTGGTCAGGGAAATGGCAACTTATTCAATTTTAAATCTCGGAAAAGGGTACAAAAGGCCAGTTTTCCCAAAGGGCCCTCTTAGAGCCATGTCATACATTACATTTGTTTTTTACCCTGTTGGGGTCATTTGTTCAACCCCAGGCATTGTGGTATTGCCTGAGAGTGACAGAGCAATTGATGTGATGCTGAGGGCTGGGCTTGGGGGACAGCCAGCTCTTGCTTTAATCACTGGCCATCCTAGGATTTTGAAACATACATCTTCCTAGGGGTTGCCTCTGCTACTTTCACTATAACAAAGCAAGAATTTGCCTATCAAGAAATGTATATGCTTCTACCAAGAAACCTACATGCAAACAAAACCTTAGAATTGCTCAGGTTGTTGTCCAACACCAATCTATAGCTGGTCTCTGGCTCTCACCTTCCTCTGAATACAATAGGGTTTTCCCATGTCCAGTCGTGTCCAATTCCAGGGGGCAGTGCTCATCTCCGTCTCCTAGCCAAGGGAGCCAGCATTTGTCTGCAGATAATTTCTGTGGTCATGTGTCACCAAGGTGCACGGAACGCTGTTACCTTCCTACCAAAGTGGTACCTATTTATCTACTCATATTTGCATGCTTTTGAACTGCTAGGTAGGCAAGAGCTGGGACAGAAGCAATGGGAGAGTGGATTCAAACTGCCAACCTTTTGATCAACAAGCCCAGTGGCTCAGCAGTTTCAACCATGGCGCCATCTGTGTCCCCCCCAGTATAATAACCTTGTCCTAAATTTGGGATGGGGGAGTTATAAGTAGCACTTGCTGAACCAATTTAAGCAAACTTATTTGAAAGGCATGCTAGAACCAGCAATCTGTTACTTCTGAAACATTTTCTAGCAAACTTTCCTTTCTGTCATCTTGAGTTCCATAAGCCAGAGAAACTGTTCTGGAAATGTGAATGTCCCCTTTTGCAATAGATCTATTAGCAATAGATCAGTCTCAGTGTAGATCATTGAAAGATCATTGAAAAAGCTTTCAGCATTCACTTGCAGGATAGTCGCTTGGATAGCCTCTAGGAGTTGGCAAGATGTGGCCCTCCAGATATTTTGGCCTCCTATTAGCACGAGCCAGCAAAGCCAATAATGAGGGATGATGGGATTCATAGTCCAACAATATCTAGAGAACCACAAGTCAGTCATCTGTGGTCTAAGGTGTTCCATTTAAAAATTCCATATAGAAAATCAAACATTTTAATTTTACACGCCCTACCTGTATTTTTCTTTCTGCCCATGATGAGTTTCCTGCTTGAGTCATTCCATCTTGCCTTTTGGATCTATCCTCATTGCAACAGCGCGGAGTTGCAGAACTACTCATAACATCTACTTGGATGGATATCTTGTTGTTACTACAGTATAAAAATACACAGGAATGGAATACCTAGTTCTGCTCAGCCTCTACATGGAATCTAGTACTTGGCATGGAATTATATATATATCTCATAGAAGCTTCTAGTTCTTGTGATTACAGAAATAACACCTGAAAATGTGCTGCTTGTGATTGCAGAAAAGTCCAGGTGAAGACTCTTTGTCCCATATGTCTTCACTACCTGTATTCCCACAGCCATATATTTCTGCTGCTACACTTTATCAAATTGCAAGGTATTAATCTTAAATCACTGATTGAAATTTGCTTACAGACTAATTAGTGAAGCTCTCAGTAAGTAAAAGCTCTTGATTTAAAACTTCTGCCAGTATTCACAGATGTTTTAAACCTTATGGAAAAACTTTTAAAGACAAGTATTCAAGTTTGCATACAAAGATTTCTAGGTAACATTCTGGAATTCCATATTAGAACTGCAGATGATTAAAACTGCCATTGTCTGGAGGAAATGAGTGTCCATTCTCTCTTCAGTTTCATGCATAGTCTGAGCAAACAGGAGCAGGATCGTGCCTTCTGGGCCTGTCACTGAATTCAGCATGTTCAGTGTGACTTGAGAATAGGCCCTATAACTGTGGGGCCTGTATGTACAGCTGGGCTCTCTGGCATGATCAGAGTTCACAGTCCTTATGTGTATGCAATTGTACATATTTGTGACCCATTCTTATCTCTATCTGAAGGTGTAAAGGTTTGGGAGCTAAGCCAGGAGAGTGTGATTCCCTCTGCACTTCTGTTGGATCAGTGTATAAAAATGACAGTGCAAACAGTAGATTTTCCAAAAGAATAAATAGATTTGAACACCCGTCTTGTGGAATTCTTGCCTGGTGTCCTGCAGTGAGAACCACCTGATGGATATTCTTCATCATACCTGAAATTATTATTAAAAATGGCCTTTTGTTCTGATGGTTTGTAGCCTTTGCTAAATAGTGAATCTCGTGCTTAAGAGAAACGACCTCCTTTCAGGATTTCTATACAGATTTGTGGTTTTGTTTTGTTTTCATTGTGATACTAGACACCAGAATGGTTGGACAGTGATTCTTGTCAAAAGTGTGACCAGCCATTCTTCTGGAACTTCAAACAAATGTGGGATAGCAAGAAAATTGGCCTTAGGCAGGTATGTGTCCTGCTGCTGCTTAAAACTATTGAAGGTTTCTGCCAGTTGGCACAAAATCACGTATAGAACTAGTGAACTTGTGCTAGGAGGGGGATCCTTAAGTGGCCAAAGCACCACCCTCTGCACACAAAAGGGCATGTGGGCAGCTTCCACAGCATTCAGAATTACAGAAAGTGCTTAGAAAATGTTCCTTACAGGGAGCGAACCCCAAAAACAACCTAAGGAGGACTGAGAATATTCCACAGCCACAGAATGCTTTGCATTTGTATTGGGGTGGGGGGATGGAAAACTGGGGAGTGGAAGAAATGAAATGGGAGTATTCTGGAAAAGGGCATGGCTGTCTGGGACACTCACCTGTAGCCTTTTACCCTGCAACATTTTGCTGTGGATCCCACTACTCTGTGTTGTCATTCCTCACAGAGGCTGCTTGTAAGATAACTGTTGGAATTGCACATTTACAGTGAATTGGAGAAAGGTGACTGAAAATTGTTCCTGTGTTTCGAAAGAACTGATAATATTTTCCCAAACGTGGCATGCTTTTTTTTGGGTGGGGGGGAAGGTCCCACTTAACATGGCTTCTGCCTTAAGTAGCTTGTTTAGAAGCAGGCTCCCCACCACTACACATACAGAAGTGGCCATCAAATTCTGGTGCAAATAAATGAAAATTAATCCATGAATTGGTGGAACTGCTCCATATCAGCAGTGACTTTCCTATTAAAATAATGGAACACTTTGAAACTCAGTGCAGTAACATATTAGAGTAAATGCTTGCTGCAGTCTTAGTTCCTTCATGTATAAAACATGGAAACCATCACTCCTGCCAAACTGTAAGTCAGGTTGGTATGCAGCTCCCATAGATAGCTGGGGCTTTGAGGAGTCCTGGTCCATTTATAGAGTGCCAGGTTGGGGAAGACTCAATTAACCACTGGGCCTAGTGGCATCGTGTTAAATGAAGTCTCGGCTTGGTCCAATGCAGTTTCACCAACAGTGGCTCTGGGTGTGCTTCTCATTCTGGGTCAAGGTCGCTGGAGCCTTGTGGAGGAAAAGTGGTGTGGAAAATTACAAGAATGTGTGCCGACTTCTTGGGCTGGATGGGCTCTAGAGTGTGGAAATAGGTGGATGCACTTGTGAATACTTCCACCTCATCCAGGTGATCCTCATGTGTTTCTCATTTCAGCATCATTGCCGGAAGTGTGGGAAGGCTGTCTGTGGCAAATGCAGCTCAAAGCGCTCTTCCATACCACTTATGGGATTTGAATTTGAAGTGCGAGTCTGTGACAGCTGCTATGAATCCATAACAGATGAAGAGTGAGTAAGAAGCCTTGTTCTCATCACATCCTTGACTTTCATCCTAGTTGGTTTCCTGTCCTGCAGCCCTTCTTTGCTCCTTGGCAGAAACATAATCTAGTTTCTGAGGAAAACCAAGTCGTTTTGGCAGACTGCCTTTTGGAAATGAATTACTTTCTTCAGGAATGGAGTTTTTTTCTGTGTTTAACCAAGGATGAGGAGATGGTCATCTTCCAGACATTGCTGTCCCTGGTCATTGGCCATGTTGGCTGGAGCTAAGAGTTTGTGGCCTTCTGAAGTCTATCAGCTAACCTTACATTACAGCTAACATTACAACAAGGGGCCGGGGGGGGGGGGGGAATGGCACAAAAGCCAGGAAACCATCAGAATTGGTGGTTGGAGGAAATGAGGTACGTCGCTATCTGGAGACTCCAGGTGGGGGCATGAGGAGGCTGGATCTGAATTCCCCACTCCTGCACTAAGTACTGTGCATATGGGAGGTCAATACAGTAGCTCCTACCAACCGTTAAGCCCTCCGATCTATGGCCTTCACTTCTCTCATCTCTTGTTCTTCCTTCAGGCGTGCACCTACAGCCACTTTTCATGACAGCAAACACAATGTTGTCCATGTACATTTTGATGCAACCCGGGGGTGGTTGCTAACATCTGGAACAGACAAGCTTATTAAGGTAAGAGTCTAAGGTGGGAATTACAGGTATATCCCAAAGGTGGCCAACTTGTGGCCCTCCAGGTATTTTGGCCTACAACTCCCAATGGCCTACAATGTTTGCTAAGTTGCCTTAGCAAACATTCCTATCGGTGAAGGATCATGGGAGTTACAGGCCAATATTTCTGGAGCTCCACAAATTGCCTATCTTTGGGATATCCTATACATTTCAAGGGCCAGTAACCAAATTTGTTGTAACCTGCCCAGGGAGCCTTGTGGCTAATGGGGTGGGCTAAAAGTCCAATCCATAAAATTATAACATCCGATACATATTTTCCTGCCTCTTTTCTCCCTTTGTCAACAATGTAGTAGCTCTTATGGTGGGAAAGTGCTAGAACTATTCCACACAGATTCAGTAAATCCTTTTAATGATCTCCTCTGTCTGCATTTATCTCCTTTTAACAGTTGTGGGATATGACACCTGTAGTATCCTGATACATCAGTGAAACAAAAAGCAGTGATGAGTTTCTGAAGAAGGGATTCCTAAGCCTGTTGTAGGAGATGAAGCAAGCTGCGTAATCACTGATAAGGGAGAAAACTAATACTTCTGGATGGTTTCTCAAGCGATCTGCCAGATCTGGGGTGAACACTTGCATCAAATACTCTACCTTCTCTTTATTCTTGAAATACAGAAGATATTTTTTTAAACTTATGATTATACAATCTGGTTCCATTCAGGCATTTGGAACTTACCTGGAGAAATCTGTGTGCAGTGTGGTTTGTGTCTCATGTTCTATGTTGACTTGTGCTGTTTGTGGGGGAATTCTTTACAGATGTGAGCAGTCTTCTGCAATACTAGTTCAGTAAGGCAGAATCTGCACTTGGGGAAATGAAGCAGAAAGCCAAACATTCTTTCCACATTATCTGGTAGAAAGACGTTGCATAAGAACTTGAATTACAAACTGCTGTAAAAGATCAGGCAGCCAGAGCTTTTTTCAACAGAAAAGGTCTCTTTTGTAATTTGTTTCTAAGAAATGGTACTGTGGGATGTGAGGGGGAGGAGAGGATGGACAAAGCCCAGTCTATTTCATTGCAAAGCTGTGAGGAATGTTTATTTGGCCACGAGTTTCAGAATGGCTAAACTAACTTTCCATCTGCAAGCATTTGTACGAGCAAGTGTAGAAGTAATTTCAAACTGAGGATGCATCAAATGGTTTTACGTGGTTGCCAGAAACTTGGAATGTCCAGCAGTGCTGGAATGTTCTTTGAGGGTTCTAGTAGAATTGATGTGCTTTGCTGGGTATGGTTTGAAACTTATTATTGCATTCCTGACATAATTCTGGCAGGAAGAGTGTTTCTGAAATCACTGATAACTGTAATTATTTTTAATTCTCAATGTAGCCCCCAAATTAATGTGGTTAAATTTCACATGTTCTTTTGCTGTGCCCTACAGGCACTTTTTCAAAAAATAAAAACCAAATACAAACAAAAATCGCCTCTTTCAGAACCTCTAGAAAATGCTCAGTTTCTTACTCTTTTAAACCTCAGCCTCCTAGATAACCCAGGACCCTAAATTTAACTCTGTCTACATGATACAGCTGATTAAAAGGCATGTTTGTATGAGTATTATTAGAAGAAACACTTCTATGCATCTGAGCGAGTTTTTTTATTCCTACACTTTGCAGTGATTACAAAATGTACGATTCATTGCATTTCTGTCCTCCTCAATGTAAGAAAAATTGTTTCTAGCACTGCTGTATCTCTGATAGGGAAAAATCTGCCAGTACATTAAAGATAATTGCCTGCATGCTGCATAGAATCACGTAGAATCACAGACTAGTACAGTTGTAAGGGGTCAGAAGGCCATTGGGTCCAATTCCCTGCTATTGCAGGGCACTAAGTTATACCATCCCACTCAGATGACTGCCCAGATGCTTTCTGAATGTCTTCAGCAAGGGAGATCCCACAACTTTCCTGGGTAATAGGTTCCATTGCTGTACTGCTCTGACAGTGAGGGAATTCTTCCTGGTGTCTAGTCTAAATCTGGTTTCTTTTAACTTAAGTGCATTATTCTGTGTCCTGCACTCTGGAATGAATGAGACAAGAACATACCTAGTTCTTTCAGTCTTTCCTCATAGGGCTTTGCCTCCAGTCCCTGAATCATCCTTGTTGCCCTCTTCTGAATCCTTCTAGCGTTTCTTCATCTTTTTAAAACTTAGGTGCCCAGAACTGGACAGAGTACGCTGGGTGTGGTGGTCTGACTAACGCTAAGTATAGGGGAACTAGTACTTCATGTCTTTTGGAAATGATGCTTCTGTTAATGTGGCCCAAAATAGTATTTGCCCTATTTTGCAGCTGCATCCCATTTTTGGTTTCTTGTTCCCAAGTGGTGGACTTGGCATTTGTCCCTACTCAATTTCACTGTATTGCTCTCTGCCCAGCATTTTAACCTATCGAGATCACCCCATATCTTACCTCTGTCATCCAGGGTATCTGTATTCCACCCAGCTTTGTATCATCTGCAAATCTAATTATCTTTCCTTGTACTTTCTCATTTAAATCATTAATAAAGGGTACTTAATAATAAAGTACCCCACTTGGCACCATTTTCCAGTTTGAGAATGTGCCATTGATGAGCACTCTTTGTGTCTGATTTTGCAGCCAATTGTGGAGTCACCCAACGATGCGGGAATCAAGCCCACTTTTGCTAATTTGGTAATCATGTCTTGGGACACTTTGTCAAAGGCTTTGCTAACATCTACACAAATTATGTCTGCAACATTCCCACAGCCCATTTGGGAGGCTACCCAGTCAAAAAATGAAATTTGATTGTTCTGGCAGAATTTGTTCTTGAGAAATCCATGTTGGCTTCTAGTAATTACTTCATTGTCTTTAAGGTGTTTGCAAATTATAATTTGTCTAGAATTTTTCCAGGGATTGATGTCAGACTAACTTGTCTATATTTCCCAGGTTCATGTTTTTTTTTCCTTTCTTGTAGATAGGAACAACATTAGCCCTCTCCAGTCAACAGGCATATCTCCCCCACCCCCACCATCCCCATTTGTAAATAAAAGGCATTTGACGATTTTAAAGAGGAAATGTGAAATGGGTCAGTAATGGAAACACAAGGGTTTGAATGGGAACCATAAGAAAGCCCAAGAAGCCATAGCAAGAGCACTTTCCTGCCCCACCCAGAGTCTTTTCCAACATAACACCTACCATTTCCTGGATGGGCCTCAAAGGTCTGCTGAAATATGAGTTAGTTGCAACAAACTTTTTCCACTGCAACAAACAGGCTGTATCTACATATTTCAGCTTTTCCTAGAATCCTGTTCTAGAATGAATACAATTCTATTAAAGAAAATCAGATGCATCTATACATAGAGGAAGTGAGCCTTCAGCTGCAGTCTGATAATGTACATATATTAAAGTTTCCCAGTATGGTTTTGCTTAGTTCATCCTCTAGAACAGCATGGACAAATGCTACTATAACACATTGCTAGACTTGTAGAACTCTTCATCAAGTAGAAGTAGGAACTTGCAATCATATGGGCTTAAACTGCTGAGAGAGCTTTTCAAGAGCTTGCATCAGCTGTTCTTCATCCCCAGGTGAAGATTTTGTCTGTGCTAGTGGTAAGTGAGTTGGAACAGGCTGTCTGTCTGTAAACACAAAGCAAGATGACCATAACTTGGCTCACCAAGAAAATTCCTTTTCTGAAATGCTGATTAGTATGGCTGAACAAGAGTGAAACTCCAGTTAGAGCTTGCAGCAATTTAAGTCTTCACAATGCAAATTATTAGGGCCACTTTGTGCCAACATAACAAAGCCACAATAGCTGCACTTGGCAGGAGTGGCTGCTGCCAATCCCAGCCCTGACATGTGAGCTTGTTATGATATGTATGTTCGGTCTTTGTTGTGCCCACATTCTAATTTTGTGGCTCTACCTGGTCTAGCCCTCTCTGGACTGTGAGCACATTTCACAATTTCACACATTGTCCTGGGTACCACCACAAAATGATTGATGGACTCTGAGAAAATGTCTGGTGCTCATTTTGTTGCCTTCCCCCATCTAGTGTTTATTGCTAGAGACAGTTTTAGCTGTACTTCCGTCTACTGGCGTCTTCAAGGATACAATAATATCAATCCCATACCTTGGAAGAACAGGCCACTTGCTTGCTTGTGTGCTGCAGGGGAGACTGCAAGCCATACAACTGTATCAGCTCCCTGGGCTTCTGTCCTCAACCTGTTCTTCATCTTCTCATAGAACTCTGGCATGGAAGTCCTCACTGCTACAAGGTAATCAAGCGGTAAACATGTATAAAAGTTAGCCTGCCTCACAAAATGAACCGCGAGATGCTTCTCTCCCACGATTTAACTGCTTTTCAATGAATGCTGCCCTTGTTTTGGAGTATGTTGTTCCTCTGACCTGCAGAACTTAACACTCTTGCTGTCCTCCTGCCGGATGGTGCCAAATTCTGCGCTCTCACACAATCCAGTATTGGGGCTACTAGAAAACCCTTCCGAGGCTTTTCCAAAACAAATGAGGAACCAGCAGGAGCTGCTAACAACCAGCTGAAGGGTTCCATGCCTCCTCTGTCCAGTTTGCATGCTTTGCCTAGTCCTGAATAGATCTCAAATGCTGAAAGCCACAGCACTAAAGGGAAGGATCCAAGCTGTAACAGGGATTACTGACATCTGCTTAGCTGTTCCCATAGAACATGCCAGTTGACCTCTGCCAAAAGGCTGTTCTCTAAACAACCTGTACTACTCTCCCTTTCTTCTTCCTGTTCCCAGATAATTCTCTGAAGCTAATCACACGTGCAGCTATTACAGTCCACAATAGGTCTGTCCATCTGGTGATCAGTGAGTCATGTTTAGGACTTAAGAGTTGGTGTTTATTCTGTACTTCCCACTTCTGTTGAGGACTTTAAAGTTAGATGCATCTAGCAGCATTTGGAACCAACACTGTGCATTCAAGATTTTTAGGACACAGCTTGTAAAGTTGCAAAAAAGCTAGCCGAGCACAATAAAGCCAGAGAGATGAGTAGAAGATTTTGCTCAGCAAGCAGCCCCTAAATTCCACTGCACACAATGAGGAGATTCGATATACAGAACAGTATTGACACTCGTTATTACATAGTTGTAGCACACTTCAGAGCTAGCAGTCTACAAGTAACCACCTTGCCATGTTGGAAATATTGCTGAAATAAGAGGAGCATGAAATGGAAATGCCTCTATTCCTTGATCTCTCTGTACTTATTGATATGGTCAAAAGCAGATAGTCTCTTCTTGAGGGAAGAGAAAGATACAAACTTAAATAGTGGATTGTAAAAAGAAGCACAGGTAACAGCAAGTGTGGGGCATATCCCTTCTCTCTCTCCAGTAGCTGAAGCCCATCACAAAGAGCTGGATACTTCTGTTCAGTAGCAAATACCTGGAGTGTCTGCCCAGCCAGGATGCATAGAGGAGAAGTGGATGCTGGGATGTGATTTAGCCCACTGTTCTGTCAAGACAACTTGCTGTCTCTAGGATACAACAAAAGGTATCAAACTGGGAAAGAGCAACAAGCCATTTAGTCTGGTGTCTTCCTACCCAAGAACAATTACAGGAAAAAGATACTACCTTTTATTCCTTTTTCAGCATGGCCATTTTTTCTATTTGAAGCTCAGAGCCTATGCTCTGCTCCAGCTTCAGGCCAGAAGAACCCCAGGCACAGCTTTGCCTTAAAGACACTTGCATATGTGAGGTGGTCTACGCTGTTCTGCATCACATTTCTACAAAGTCAGAAGCCAATGGTCTTTGCTGAAAACATGGCATTTCTTCACCAAGCAGCTTTTCTGCAACAATGTGTTTGATGTGTTTTCTCACATCAAAAACACCTCATTTTTTGTACAGGAGCTGTGCCATGGTCTACCCTCCCAATCTTTCCCCAGGAGCTGTGAGCCCTACCTTATTCTGTGCATAGACCATCATCCCATCAAATGCCACCTCTTCTGACTGCAAGTCTGAGGCATTTAATTTTTGAACTAGCATCCCTCCTGAGGAGACAGTGATCTGTACAATAAAAAATAATATACATGGAACTACTTGCCATCATTATCTTGTACAGAGTTCCCTTTGAACTACTGAGAGAGACAGCCACAGTGTCAATTAGGCTAACCAAGTCACCTAAAGGCAAGCAAATGCTGAAATTCATAGCCTTTTCTTCACAACATTGCTCTTCTTTCTAGAAAGCCATCTCAGCTTCTATCCTAGACATAGCCTTTTGAAAGTCACAGCATAAGTACAGTTGAATATTATTGAGATGGAACACTGTAGAAGCCTTAAATACACCCACATCAAGCAGTATGCCTGATCTCTTTCTTTCTTGGAAAGACCAAGGGCAGTGCAGTCCAATGGCCACTAGACAAAGGCAATAAACCATAGCATTTTTTTGGAAACCTAACTACAAGGTCAGAAAAACACTCCATGGCTGTCTCAGAGAACCCTCTTGTCCTTCCAGTGGGCATGGAAAGAACTACAGTGGCTGCATCTCCAGGACCGCAAAAATCTGAAGGCAGGACTTAGGGGGCAGTAAGAGGAGGAGATGGGCCCTGCCACAATAAGAAGTAGCCTGGCAGCACCAAAGCCTCTTTCCCCTCGCTGAAAGGCATGACACTTTGACAGCAAAAACTGGGCATCCAGACTGATTGTGTCCTTAAAAAACAGCCACGTTGGTAGTGACTCTTGTGAAAGCTGAAGATACTTTTACACAGCCACTGGCTTCCAACAGCATTAAGGAGCCTTTTTTCATGCCAGTCAGGGAAGAAGCTAAACCAAAGGTGCTAGTTATAGCTGCACAAGATACACTATAGTGCCTTGGCCCCTAAAAGGCTGCCACATAATATTATGATTTGACATGGGACTGAGGTAAAGGTTAAGATTTGTTTGTGGCCTGTTGGAGAAGCTATTCTTGCAACTGAGTAAGGCTACTGAAGCAACGGACTCACAATTTTGCACCTCATAACAATACTGAGTAGAATTAAGCTGACCCTGTAGAGGAGCAGTGCTATGTAAATAGGAACAACAAGAAGTGGGACAGCAAGGAGGTTATCCCATTTCCCCTCAAACTGAGGCATAGAAACTTACAACTCTAGGATCGTTTTCTTTTTCCAAGAGAGGTAGAAGAGCTGTTGTTAAAATATAGGTACCTAAGGGATAAATCCATAATATTTAGTAAGGCTTTTCTTCTACAAGGTATCCAGTCTTTCGATTTTGCTCTTCAGCTGGATAGTTTCTTCTGACAGATACACATATAAATATGATGCACCCAACTGCAGTTCACAAAGCTTAAAAAAACAAAACTGTACTCATGATTCAGTCAAATTCTTGCACCTCTTTTCAGTGCTACTATTATAACCTTGAGCCTAGAGAATGCAACATTTGAATCAATACTTATAAAGTCTCCCCAGCTGTCCCATGAACTCAGCAAAAAGCAAGATTTGTTATCCAGAGTGCAGAAACAGAGTATTCAGGGAAAAAAAGCCATCCATGATCAGCAATGTTGGTACTAAAAATGACCACTTAAAAAAAAAATGGGTAAAACTTACTTTAAAGTAGTAAGAGAGTGTGCATATATTTGATTGTACTTAGGGTTGTTGTTGTGTGTTAAATACAAATGTTTTTCCTTATAGATAAGGATGTGGATGTGAGCCGCCCCGAGGCTTTGGTGAATGGGGCGGCATAGAAGTCTCATAAATAAATAAATAATATGAACCATGCTAAAATCTCAGAGAAGTCCCATAAAAAGCAGCAGAATTATGCTTATTGTGGAATGCTCCGAGTGCTGTTTTTAACAAAAGCTGGGATAATTGATTTCAGGGAGGCTGAGGAGAGAAGAGGACATGTTGGATGTATATTGCTGAGCTGAAGTTGCTCTCTTCAGTCTCTCTATCACATCCTTTCTACAACCTGATTATGGACACCATTCCACTTTATTTCCCACCCCGCATGAATGATACATCTGAAGACTGCCTAAGGCTTGTAAATGGCTTTCAAAATTATCTTACATTTCAGAAAGGAGCCCTAACAATCACAGAACCAGTCTGAAAGTGAAAGGAACAGAATCACTCTCTCTGAGTATACATCAATTACAAATTTCACCTCTATACATCAGCATGCTATTGGTTAGTGGCAGCTTATGCCACACATTTGACAGGATACAATAATTCTGTTTCAGCTGCTGATCTGGACATTTGAGTCTAGATAACACCATAATCCTACTTCTAATACTCACTAAGAAACTTCACTCCCAGGGCACACTAACATATAACTGAGGGCAGCTTTGCTGTGTCCATCTCATTCATCTCTCTTGCAGTTAGGAATAACTTTGTTAGCTATATCTTTAGTGTAGAACACAAGGGGCCAAGCATTCCAAGCATGACTGGCTGGGGAATGATGGGAATTATAGGAATTTTTACTGTCTAAACATGTGCAGGAGTACACCATTTTCCCACCATCACCGGAAAGATTGAGAGAGAGCAGGAGTCTTCTTTCCCTTATGGTCCTGAAGAGTCCTGTACAAGGAGAAATCTGCATCTTTTATCTTGTGTGCAGAATTGGACCATGCAAAGACTTCTGACATTGCTCCATTAACTAGCATAGCGCACAGCATCAAAAGTTGCAGCCTGGATCATGCAGTGTCCAGCTCATTGAGAGCATCATCTAAAGAACACACAAACTTAAAAATCTAGTAGATAGAGGATAGCAGTTATCCAAGTCCAATTCACTCAAAGGCAGGATATCCTGTTCAATCTGTTGATCAAAACTAACAAGAACATGTTTCACAATGCCTTTGGGCAGGAAACTGAACTGCTTTTATCTAGGCTACTGGTGCCTAAACCTTTGCTCTCAATGGAAAAAACATTTGCTTCCTCTTTTTGCCTCTTCCCTTAAAATATTTGAGGTAATCTGTATTTGAGGTAATCTGTATTAATCACATTTCATTTTTGTATGCATTTTTAATTCTGCCCTATTCCCTTTTTAAAGAAAATACTGGATTGTTAATCAGTACCATGAGGCCCTAAATACACATTTTGGAAGGAGACAGGTGTTGCTTTTTTTGATCAGAGAAATTCAACATGTTTAGTCAAACATTAAAAGAACTCCCTTTCTTCCAGTCAAAAATAACTCCCCTGCCCCATGACAACATCCTTATCTTTACAGGTCTGTCACAGTCCCCATCATCTCTCCAGGAAAACCAATCCGCTTACCTAAAGTGTTTGTAGCAAAATTCTTTTCAAGCCCATCTGCTGTTAGTTCTTTTTGGTTCATCATGCAGCCTGCATTGTTGATCTGCAAAAAGAAAAGAAAAAAACTGTAGTCTAAAATATGCATTTGTGCAGTTCTTGCATGCAGAAGGTTCTTGGTTCAATCCTTGACAGCTCCAGATGGGGCAGGGAAACACTCAGAAACCCTGGACAACTGCTGCCAATCCACTCAGCTCAATGGATCGATGGTCTGGCTTAGGGTAAGACAGCATTCCAGGACCACACTGTACCACCTTCTCCAGGCAATAATAATTATCAACAGCAGCTTTCAGGTGGCTGTCTCTTGCCTTCCACACACTCAAAACCCCTGACCACAATCAGTGCTAATAGTACAAAACAGGTTGCCAAGTTGTTTCTTGTGCAAGCAACTGGTGCTCATTCCTTCCAATGGCTGGTATTTGTCAATCTGCTGGGAGGCCCACCAAATCCCTCAAGATGAGTTGTGCCTTAAATTCCCAACTCACCAATACATTCAATTTGTGTTCATTCTTGTACTGTTCAGCAAATTTCCAAATGCCTTTGGGGTCAGACATATCCAGGATATGGACAAAAACATTCTAGGAAAGGCAAGAAAAGAATGAAAATAAGAAGCCCATTCAACTTCCCTGGTTTTTGCACTACAGCCTAGCTTTAGATCGTTCTTACATCAGAAGCACAGCTAAGTCATTCAGTGCACACACGTAAAACATCCAAGGATCACAACATTGGTATAGTTGATTATATTTAACATAGTTTAACAATACTACACCATCAGATAGCCTGAGTGAAATACATGCAGGTTTCCTAAGTATATTTAAATGGAGAAGGGAATCCTATCACATTTGTGGTTAAAATGAAAATCAAATGAAAAATTAGATCCAGGATAGGTGTGAGAGAGCTGCTTCAGCTGTTCTGTAAGAAGCAAAGGGAGGAGACAAAACATAGATTTGTGCTTCTACTTACCCTTAAGGGATGCTGCCTGCTGTGACATTCATAGCTGTGGATGCCATTTATGACTCACAGAGAGCACATGATGGAGGAGATCCATATCAGCGAGAGGAAGGACCAAGGTCCATTTGCAAAGCCATCTCCTGAGCTTCTGCTCACTCCAGTGGCTACCACCACAATGGCAGTGGGTAGAAGTGATGTGCAAGTCATTCCTGCAACTGAGCATTTGCAAGGGGATACCAAAGTCTAGCATGAACACCTGATGCTGCAACCATCTCGCAAGAGCCATGTATGACTGGCCCTTGGCTGTACAATCCTATTTAGCTGCTGTACAGGCCATTGCTCCTGACTACTTCCACAATGTCAAAGCTACGAGCATATGATCATCTCCCCATGGTCACAAAACTCAAACCCGGGGGCTTGGCTAGCACATTTGTGTGTCATTCCCATCCCACTCATTTTGAATGAGGCAAGTGTTATCATCATGCCCCACCTTCCAGGGACAGCCGACCTGGCATCCTCCAGATGTTTGTGGCTGCAATTCCCATTTCCCTGAACCATATTATCTATTTTAAGAGGCTCAAGAGGCAGACTACTCAAAGTAGCCAATAGAATGCAATCTCCCATTGCAGGACAGCTAAGTGATTAGAGGCAGAAGGAAGGACACTGTGCCTCTCCTGAGCTCTGCCTCCCTCTGTGACTGCAAGAGAGGCAGCGCTTTTAGCCTTGGCACCACGCAGCATTCTGCATTACAGTGCATTTTGGCATCAGGATATGGGAAAGAGAATGGTGTAAGAGCTAAATCACAAGTAACTCAGTGGCAGAAGTTTCTTCAGTTGACTATAAGGTAGAAGTGAGAAACTTGTTGCCCTTCAGATGCTCTGGCCTGCATCTCCTATAGCCAGTCTTGACTGATGGGAGTTGTAAGCCAAAGCATCTAGAAAGCAGCAAGTTGCCCACTCCTCTTACAAGGGAACATTCCTTAACTGTAGTTGGACCCTCAGTAAAAACATTGAAAAAGTGGAACACTGTTAACAGAACTAGGTTCCTAGAGTGAGGCCTTTTCTCATAGGTTTGTGTGTTTCTTGTTGTAGTTGTTGTTTTTAAAAGCAACTTTAAATCATAATTGAACTTGAGGTATTTGTGTAAATCAAGTACAGGTTTTCTTTGGTGTTGCAGGCTGCAGAATCCATGTTGCTTTAAAAAGTTGCCAATAATTTAATATAATTCTTTGTGTTGTTACGTTTAGCTATGTACTAAAAATATTAATGAACCTATACATATAATGCAAAACTTCCATTCAGCTGACCCAGTTGCATCTGTGGGGGACACTATGTACCCTCTGTTGTATTCCACATCCTACATTCTGAAAACAATTGCTTTTTGTTTCAAAGTTCAGAAGGTGAAATGCATCCAAGAAGAAGAAACAGTATTTCCAGTATCCAGGACTGGAATTCAGCAGCAGCAAAAATAAATGGAGCAAACTCTTGAAACAGAGGACATGCAGCACATCAACTAATAGGACAGAAAATACTCAAGATCAAATCTTACCTCATTACTAGTTTCTGTTGTTATTTCTTTCTTAGCCTCCTCAGCTCTATCTTTGTTTCTGCAAACTAGATGAACTATTCCCCCTGGAGGAGTTCAGCAAAAAACAGTAGAAAAAGTTACTAGGAATATATACATTAAAGTAATATATTCATTTCAGGTCTCTGTATCATTCCCATATCCACTTTTAAATTTGTAAAAAATGAGCAAAATGATGTATGAGAAACTCAAGTTTCAACTACCATATTTCTGCAGGCATTCAGAATATGGATTTGCTTCTTACAAATATGAACATAAATAACAAATCCCTAGAGGATCAAATCAACACAGATTAACTTGTAACTGTCTATGCCATAATTCAGCCTTCAGAACTTGGTGCCTTCCAGATGTTTTCGATTACAGCTCCCAGGATTGCTGACAACTGGGTTTGTTGGCTGACATTGACAGGAATTGCAGTCCAAAACATCAGTTTGGGAAGGATGCCACTAGTTCCTACATAAACTGGATCTGGTTCCAAAATGGAATACTAAAGGAACAGGACACCAAGACAATCTCCTGTGAAAAAACAGCTGTGCCTGTGAACATCTGTTTATGTGAGAGCATGTTTACATGATCTCACCTTTGTCACACATGCAGAATAATACAAGTGGACATCTGGATGAATGGATGTTCATGACTCGCATTGGTGGTTAAATGCTGGTGGTTACATTTAAAGCTCCATCAATTTAAGACAAAGTTATTTGAAGGGCTGCCTGCACCCATACAAAACCATGTGAAAATTGGCCTTTTCAGGACTTGCCTGTGAATCACCATTCATAAATAGTGGATCTGTGAGACCAAGAGACACAGCCTTTTCAGTGGTGTCCCCATATTTATGGAATTCCCTCCATGTACTATGTATGTTTAATAATTGATCGATCACTTAATCCGCAGAGCCTTAATCTACCCAGAACAGTTAATTTCTTAGGCCAATGCCTGTGGCTGGCCTCTCATTAACAGCTGGTTCAGCTTACAGATGAAGACAGACATATCTAGTGGGTTGGTTTGTCAATGCCTTCACCATGCTCATGAAAAGCATAACCTTGCCTCTCCAGCCCTTCTCTTTCAGTAAGCAAGCAAGCACATAAACAAGAAGAAAAGCCTGCATGATTGCTGAGGCCAACTGTTTGGTTAATTTGATAAAATGTAAATCTCTTGTGCAAACTGTGAAATTCAGAGGAAGCCAGATTTAGAGCAAAGGTTAAGAATCTGCTGTGATGTCTCTTAATATTACATCTGTCATGCCTGCCTGGCCCATATCCCTTATGTTGTTGTATGCAATAGTAGATACAGGCAGGAAAGGAGTCCCTGCGGATTTTACTCCAGTAGCCGAAATGGCTAAAGGGGAAAGCCCTCATCTCTGTTTCAAAGGCCATGAGCCAGAGCTGTCCAAGGACGTTCCCATGGTCGTGTGTCCAGCATGACATCATGGGATAGATACAGAGAGGAGAAGAAAATAAGAGTTATTTGTTTCTAAAAACTGATCTTCAGAAATATCAGCCTTGAAAGAAGTATTGCTTCAGCTTACCTCTCCTGGCTATCTCTTTTGCAGCTGCTTTGCCAATACCGCTGTTGGCTCCAGTAACCATGAAAGACCTTCCAGTTACATCAACTTCCAAGTCTTCTGGATCAAACCGTTTACATGCTGATTCATAGCTGCCCCTAGAGAAGCCAGTTAAGGATGTGGGTTTGGCAGAGTATTGGCTGGTTAGAGACCAGGAGGAAAATACACAAATGCCCTAGGAAACCATAGACAACTGGTGGCTGACTATATTTGAAGCCTGAGGGCTCCCAACCCTGAAGTTCTACACTTCTGATCTAATGCTCTGCTAGTTTTAGACAGACACCACCATTTCCTGCAGGCTACCTCTCTCCCATCCATTCAGTAACTTCATCTGGCAGCCTTTCTAGGCCTGAGAGCCACATTTGGTGCTGGGTCAGGGATGCAAACATGTGAGCATGCACGACTGCATAGGGCAGCAGCCTCTCCATACCTGTTACCATGCACTGGATTCTAGGTTGAGGTGAAATTTAAACTAGGTAGTACCCAGCTCATCCTGGTAGCTCTTGTGCTCCTGTACCTTCTCAACAGAAGCCAGAAGTCCAAATGATGTAAACAGTCTCTCCTGCATCTATCTAAAACTGTGTTAAGCATGTAGATTAGGAAACCACTGGCAAACATTCTCATTATCTCAGGATGTGTGAGCAGAATTCTAGAATTTGGCTATGTGGAGTTAGTTTCCTGCTAACACCACCTTTGTGATAATGGACATCAAGATAAAAAAAGTGACATGAAGTGTTCTAGCTCCATGGCTGCCTTTTAATCCACTCCTCCCTCTCCCTTGTAAAGGACACAAGCATGCAGCCCCCACTTCAGCGACATGAAGCAATCACCAACAGCTCACCCATGGGGAGGGGGCTATAGCTCAGCCAAAGACCACCCACTTTGCATTCAGAAGGCCCCAGGTTCAATCCCCTGCTTCATCAGGAAGGCCTGAAGAGAGTCTTGCCTAAAGCCCTGGAGAACATTGCTGCTGGTCAATCGCCAAGTTAGAGCAATGGTCTGATTAAGTACAAGACACCTCTTCCGCGTGTGCTTCCTGGTGCCCTCCACATGTGTTCCACTGCAACACCCAGCATTCCTGTCCATTCGCCATGCTGGCTGGGGCTGATGGCAGGAGCCCCAAACTACTGGAGCACACCGGCTTCGGAAAGGCTGCTTCACCCAGAGTGACTCGCCAACCCCAAAGCAGAGTCTGAGCCTGATCACAATTCCCGACTCTTCCTCGAATGCGTCCTCATGCGCGGGGCTACAACAGCGACGGGAAGCCCGATGCAGAACACATAAGCACCCACCAGCCTTCATTTCGCCTCTGACCTTGACCAGCCGACCTCGCCCCTTATATAGAATTCCAGAGCGAGCCGGGGGAGGGGAATGCCTGACCCAGCGTATCGACGGGCCCTTCCGCAGCCTGGAATAGGCCGCTCTTACTTGGAGGGGCGTTCCTCTCGTGCTCGTGCCCGCCTCGGGCCTATCAGGGGGCTCCGTTCACCCCCCTCCGCCCCCTCCCCTCTCCTACCGGCAATAGTGGTGCAGCCCCTTCAGGAACCACACGGAGTTCCTGTACACGGACATGGCGGTGGCGGTAGCTACTCTGAGCGAGCAGGCTGAGCGCAGTGAGGAGGGGCGGGTATCCCTCTCCGCTGCCCCGGACCTGGTCCGAGTGTCTTCCCTTTTCCTCCTCCTGCTCCTCCCCGCCTAAGATCGGAGAAGAGGCGGTGCTCCGTCAGGGAACGCATGGGAGGAGGCGGGGCGCCTCACGCTGATTTCGAGTATTTATATTCCGCGACGAACCGACGAGGTTCTTCTCGTCGGCATGTGATCCTGACACCAGCAACGACTCTGTGAGGTGAGTGACGCCGAGAGCCCATCATTCTCCCGAGCTTCTGCCCGGAGGCACGAGAACCCGGATCTTCTTCCCCCGGCTCCACCAGCCCCACGTGACAGCCGCCGAGGGGTGATCCCGTCAGTTCTGCAATGCAAGCTCTGGCCTACCAGGAGTCTCCAAAAACATCAGGAGCCGCGATTATCTATATCCATAAACCAGTTCTAGAAGTTTTCGTTCCACTCACAGGTCTTTTATAAAGTTATCTCGCCTTAATTGCCCATTCAGGACCAAGTCACACAAAAAGATTTTGCATTACAATAGGGAGCGATATTTCAGTTTCGAGGAAATTCTTCATGCCCCCCCCCCAAAACAAACAAACAAACAAAAAACTGTGAGGAATTGTAACTTAGTTCAGAGGCAACAGTGGATTTGGAGGATGGAGTGGCAGATGTTGTCAACAGCCTTGCTAGTGTAAAAACGGAAGCTGTGTTCCTGTTGCCCCAAATTCCAGTACACTGCTGCTGATAACTTAGCAGGTTTCCATATAAAAACACAGCTGCAGAAGCTCAATGCCCTTTCTGTACCTACTTTTGTAAGTATGTGTGGCAGATTTCAGTTTTCTTTCCTGGAAAAGGGGGACAATATTAGGCAGATTTTAAAATGGGGCTGGAATTAGTTTAAACAACACATCTTGCAGCTGTTCCTCATTTTTGCCACCTGCCATTAATGTCATTTGTTGCAGCCCTCTCCTCCTTTCTCTCTCCCCTGCATGCTGTTCATGCCACTTCAATTACTATTTTCTAAATGCTCTAATCTTCAGCTAGGCCATTAGCAGTGTCTTCAACTCCAGTGGTCTCTCTGGAAAGCTTGTGGGATCCATAAAATGCTTGGAGACCCTTTGTTTTGTCAAGAGCTGCAACTGAACTGTCGAACAGCCAGATGTAGTTCCCATGTCTCAATCTGCCTCTCCCCTAAAATATGCTTTGGATTGTACTTTTGCATTAAACAGCTTGAGCTGGCAGCTCTTCAGCTGCTAGCCTAGAAATAAAATTGTGAAGATAAACATGTCTTAGTTAAATCCAAGCATACTTTTAATGCTTCTCCAATATCTGCATTTATATACAGTCAGTCATATAATCTGCATAAATACAATGGCAGTTTCTTTAAACAATTAGAGCATTCATGATGTACAAGCAGGATTGGACTTCCCCTCCCCAATTTCCATTGCTCATCTGATCCATTTCAATTGTACTATACAGCATATTTAAGAAACTCACATGATATTTTGTATCATTTGCAAGCAAGAAATATTGGAGAATCTGATTAAGGGGGAAACCGGATCCATTCCCACCATCAGTGCTACTGAAAAGAACATCTAGACCAGGGGTCGGCAGACACCCTGCATTTCTGACCATTGGACATGCTGGTTAAGACTTCTAGGAGGTGAAGCCTAAAATTCTGAAGGCCTGATTTCTACTTACCCCTGTTCTATGCTTTGTCATCCTAGCTTATTTTGGCTAATAAATGTTTTGGTAAAGATTAAAATACTTTGGGTTAACACTTAACAGTAAATGCAGAAATAGGGGAATACACCATATATTATAGTTAATAAATTACACATTTGTCCGGGTAGTCAATTGCTGTCGCACACATACTTTTTCTTCTTTCAGGTTTTATACCCAGCACATCAAACAACAAAATATTCCTTGATTTTTTAACAGGCCTCCCAACTGCAAGCATGGAGTGAGGAAACTGCATGCCCTTCATAGTACCGTGCAATAGTTATGCTGTTTATTATTTATTTCTACAATTTATTCATTGCCTTGTGGCTAATAGCCTTCAGGGCAACATACAATCCCCCCAGCAAAAAAGAGAAAAGGAAAAAACAAAGACAGCATTACTGAATAATAAATTAATAGTAGCAATCAACTGAAAGCAGCAACAAAATAATCTCTCATTATTCTCAAGCCACACTGTGCTTTTAATAAGATTGGCAAAATGCCATCATTATGAATGTGGGTTGGCTCAAATAGTGTGAGGGCCCTATGAGGATACAGTGTATTTCAATGCAGTTTGCATACGGAAACACTAGACCCATGTGTGACATCTCTGACAAAAGTGGTTGGTCACCAAGTGCCAGGGATGGAGAGAGCATGTCATCATGGGAGTGAGTGGCAAGCTTTCACATTTATGGGAGAAAAACATCATTTGGAAATAAAACAACAGGCATAACCCCTCTTATTGCTTGGGGAATTTTGGCCATTGAGAATTAAGTCTGCATCTTTCTGTGTGTTCTCATCCTGCTTTCTCAAGATGACAGAATGCTATGCTTGTCGGAGCACTGGTGCTCTGGGTTGGTAGGAGAATTACCTAATCAATATTTTGTATCTTTCTAGTAAAGTCCAAAATTAAGAGGCAAGGGAGCTTCTAAATGATACCTGGGTGGAAGCTCATTCTTCTAGCCACTACAGATAGTATGCATTCAGGACCTCTACTTTCCAGCATCCTGTGGCTGCCACTGTTTGTGCCTTTCATACACCTTCTAGCTGAAGTGCTGCAATGGAGCCAGAAAGCTGGACTTCTCTACAGTTACATAACTGGTCAACTACCTCCCCTCTTCACATCACCCTGTTCCCATTAGTATCAGGTGGGATCCCATGGATGGTCACCATCTGTGTTTGTGATGTAGATGTTCAATGCTTCACTAGATGAAGCATTGAACTTTGATCTAGAAACGCTGGGTTCAAATCTGAGGTAATGTCATTGGCTAGTCTTTCACTCACAGTTTGCAAGACGGGATTGCTATTGCCCTACTCAACAAGGTTGTTGTGTGAGTGGAGGACTTATTGATGTTGAATTCATGTGTGAGGCTTCAGCAAATAAATAAGACAGTTCAGCTACCTTACATTAGGTTTCATTAAGACCCAGAACAAAACAGTCTAAATGTTGGAGGCATAACAGGAGGTTGTCCTTTCTGCGGGCTCGGAAAAGTAGTCATGTTAATCAAGCCAATCCACAAAGACACAGACATGCATAATTCTAGAATATATGTGTAAATACTGAAAGTACGAAATTTAAAAAACAAGTTCAAATGCAAGTTCAAAATTTTAAAAAACAGCTTTCAAATATACGAGGGGGACCCAAAAAAAGCCCAAGGAATTTATTTATAAAAAAAATCATGTATATATTTTTACATGTTCAAACTTCAGTCACCTTCAAAGTACTCTTCATTTGATGCAATACTCCTATCAAAACTTTTTCCACTGCTCAAAACAGGTTTGAACTTTTCAATTTTGATGCCTTTTAGTGCTTCTGCCATTTTTTGTTTCACTGCTTCCACACTGGCAAAACGTTTCCCTTTGATGACTTTTTTCATCCGCGGGGGGGGGGGGAATTTAAAAAGTTGTTTGGGGCAAGATCGGGTGAATAGGGAGGGTGGGGCACAAGGAGTCATTTGAGCCGGTTTTGCTCAAAAACTGCTGTATACTCAGCTGAATAAAATTTCTCCACTGCACATTTTTCGTGTAAATCAGCCATCACAAAATAGGCAAACACATGGAAAGAGTCTCCCCCTCCCCAAAAAAAATCCCCCCACTGAAGCTGATCACAACCTCTCACAACAACCCAGCTGGGTACACAGATTCAGAAGGGTCCCTAGAACACTCACCTAACAGGGGAAGCCTGTACTAGAAGGGGCCCATCCTCCAGTAGATAATTCCTGGTTTTTGCGGGGTCCTCCCTCATAATACATATATCCATGCCCCTTGCAATTGCTAACAGGAAAATAACTTTCCAAATAATTTCATAGACAAAGGTTGTAATGCCATTGTCTTAGTCTTTAAAAAAAAGCCCCCCCCCAAAAAAAACCCAGTAAGTTGAAACACTCACTCTCTCCATACAGAAAAGAATGTAACAGAGGTCAAAGCTAGAGTTTTAGTGTGAGCCAAGGCAAAGAACATTTTTCAAAATCATTTTTTGTATCTATCCAATTATTCAAGCATCTTCCAAGACCCTTTTATTTTTGTGCTTACATTATCTAGAAGAAAAATGCCTTTGAGCATATAGAGAGCACTTGTCCAATCTACTGGAAGGTACAGACTAACAATCTGTTATAAGCTAAAAGTAAAAGTAGAAGAGTTTTCTAGCAAGAGTACCTTTTTTAAAAAAGCTAATTTGATCACAAATGTATTATCAGGAACATTTTAAAGTCAAAAGAGCGGAACTTCATGGCTGGAGAGTATTTTATATGAAGGTCCTTTGCTTGTCTTTGGCTCCTGTTTTACAGTTTCTTACAGGAATATAGATAACTGTTTGTGCAAGCATTTACAGTGTCAGTGTGTACATGGTAGCATGAGTTTCTCAGCTTTGGAAAGCTGACCCATCCTATGACATGTACGCAGACCACAAAACACCATTTTGCCACCATTCCAATAGATGTACTCTTCCCATTTTTCCTATTTATTTCCTCATCGGAAAAAGTAACATGTAAAAATGGACAAATTTCTCAGCAGAACTTGTTAATTAACCACAGGATGTGCATGCTTGTGTGCACATAGAATATATGACTGACAAATAACATTATTACCTCTCTCTATTATATATCACTGTGGTTTTGTTTTGTGGCTTTCCCTTTGTGGTTCTGTTTCTGTGACTTTTAATCCTCCTCTGCAGTGTATCGCTGCCTGGAACAACAATATATGCAGCAACTGCAGAAAACCAGCAAAACTAACACCACGTGGCTGAGGATGAGAACTCCAACTGCAAAAACGTACAGGGTTTTATCACAATAATCTTGGGGGTGATGAAAAGGTGGGATGAAATTAGGCAGATAGACTGAAAATACCCAGTAGTTCCCCAGTATGAACCAGAGGAAGAGGAAGAGGCTGAGTGTCAGATGGATGTAATATTTGTGAGCATTCTGTCTCCATGGATATTCATCATCGTCGTCATCATCAATCATGACTGATTTGGAAAGCAGCTGCCTCATTCTGGTGGATTCAAAGAGCAGAAGAGCTACCTATACAGTGTGCAAAAGGAAGAACCGAAAGAAAGACAGCCAGACAGATCAATCAACAAACTGTAAGTCTGGCACCTTAGTATCAGATACTTACAATGCTAACTAAATTTTAATTGCACTCAGAGCAACATAAAAAGGAGAATTTAGTAGGATCCACTCAGTGTGCCAGGATTGATCAGTAAATTAAAGAGACTAGAACTACTTGAAAGCCAACTGGGGAATATATTCCATCTCAAAGGTCAGAACAAGAGCCAGCAGCCCCCACGGTGAAGGAAAGAAATACCTTCCCCTCCCACAACTTCTCCTGCCCCCATAAGCAACTGTCTGGCCATTCCAAAATTCAGAAAGGAAAGGAACTAGATTCTACAAATGAATGGAAGATCAGTTTTCCAGATTAAATTTGCACCCCATTTTAGAAGAGTAGGCAAAGTTTAAGTAGTGCTTCCAGAATTGCCAGCTTTCGTACTGAATGGGGCAGCTCCTTTGTGCAAGAGGGTGATATTTGGTAGGTTTGGCCTTCCCCTGCACTACCTCCAGTCACCCTGCCACAGCATGTTTACCCTCTGCACATGGGAGACCCTTCTCAAGAGGGAGGGCTTCTCTACACAGGGCATTTATGGTGTGCTCATGCTCTCTCTGGCCAGAAATGTGAGTGCCTTTTCATGGCGTCGTCTTTCTTTGGGACCTCTCCCTCTTTCCTAGCCATTTTGGTTTCACAGCAATAAAAATCAGCGATTAAATTTCAAGCTGGAAGAAACTGAAATGAAGGCCTCATGCAGCATCGCAATTCTGCTACACTGCAACACCACTTTGTGGTTGGCTCACAGAAGATACAGAAAAGCTAGAGAAATTCAAGCCCAGGGGGAAGAAAAACCCTGATGCAGTTTATCTCTGTTGTACCTGACTCCCCAGGATCCTGACATAATAGAGATACCTATCAGCTTTCTCAGGGCATTCAGGATAGGCATGACTCCTCTAGGCTCCAGATAGGCATGACACGGCCAAACACTAGAATAATCAGCTGTCTCAGGGTATGCATGATAGGCTTAGCTCTCCTAAGCTCGAGCCCATTCAAGTGACTAGTAACTGCCTCAGAGAATTCCCCTGGTAAGTGGAAAGAGCTTACCTACAATGTAATGGACAAAGATTGCTTAGAAGGTGTAAATTAAAAGATAAAGCTTACTGTTAACCAAATCTGCTTCTGTATATCGCTTGCTCAACTGCTTATGTGATTCTGTAACTCCCCATTGTCGCCATTGTTCTCATTCTTGTCAAAAACTGATTGTATTGTTCCCCATTTGCCGAAAGCGGATTGTGAAGGTATAAAGATCTCCTTCCAACTCTGTTCACCACCGCATTCCTCTATGAATGTGGTCCCTGCTGCAGGAATAAATCTCCTCTTTACTTTACCATCCGGTCTCTGGCCTCGTCTGTAACACCGCGGGTACAACATCTCCCACAATGGAAACAGAAGAAGCCTCAGTAAAGTGGTGGATTAAACCCCTCATGTAGAGAAGCCTGGAGGTACTTGATAAAATTGTTCCTTAAAAGAGGCTATAGCAGGAGCATAAAACAAGCATCCAAGTTACATTGTGGGCAGAAGACTCATCCTGGGCTAAAATTGTATTTCTTCAGCATGAATTCACAAATATAGCCATTGTCAGAATCTCCTTACCAACAGCACGAATGATTACTCAGACCCACAGGGAAGATTGAATCGCCTTGAACCCCAGCATTTTTATTGGTGAGATTACCCAGGCCCCTCACAATTTACTTAGGACAGCATGTTACCGGGTAGTGGTCTTCACCACCAACCACAAAATCACAGACCATGTACAGACATCTTTATAACCTTCCAGTCATGTAGAGTATTAGGTTTCTAGATAAAGTTAACATAATAACATATTGATGTCTTCATACATAAAACAATACTCTAAACTGATCAGAAATGCCCATGACAATAGAATAGAAAATTTCCCTGATTGAGTCTTATTGACAAGTGAATTCCTGACAGTTTGGATCAGCCTCTGTGTCTGATTGAGGAATCATGCAAATGTGTCTGATTGAGGAACCATTCAGGAAAACTGGTTTGACAACTACACTGAGCAGGCGCTTGCCTCTGTTGAGCTAGATGATTAAATGGATCCATTCAGAAACAAATGGACACCTTTGTCTAAGCTCTCTGCAGCTAATGGGAACACCATATTTCCCCACTGATAGTGTTAGCCTACAGCACCTTCTCCAGCTAAGAATTCCATCTTCTTAATGTAACAGCAATGCTAAACAGTAACCTGGCTTGGAATTCTGCTGCTTTCTGAGAAAGGGGTGCAGGTTTGATTTTATAACACAGAGGTACTTATAAGCAATCTTTTTCTACCAGGATTTATTCTGGATTTCCCCAACACAGTCAAGAGCAGGGCTTTTTTTGTCATAGAACGCACCGGAACAGCGTTCCGGCACCTTTTTTTGACGGATTTTTCCAAGTGATTGTGAATCGCCCTGTCGGGCGTAGCAGATCGGCAGCAAAAATCATTAACATAGTACCTGCAGGCTGCTTGTGTGTTGGCGCTGATTGTCCGCGCTGCCCTGGTCTCTCCCCTTCTCCTCCCAAAGCTTTTCCTATTCGGCATTCCCATCTCCCACCCGGTTGGGCCCAGACCTCTTCTCCAATAAACAGCCGCCTCCCCTACTCTCTGCTTTCCATGCCTCGCGGTCTCCCTGCCGGGACAGCCCACCTGTTCTGCCCGGGTCTGCTCCCAGCTCGCTTGTCTGTGGACAAGGGCCACCTCCTCACCTTCCCCCATCCTGGCAGCTTGGGCATTTCCCTCCCGGGGCGGCATTTTCTTTGCAGGAGGTGAAATCATTTCACTCCCAGAGAGAACCGTAATGGGAGGAAGGCCACACTGAGATGATCTTGCCCTGTGCTGGGGAACTTGCAACCCTCCAGATCTGGGGAATTGCTACTCCCGTCTTACTTTGCCAGTGGGTAGGCAGGCTGGTTGGGGCTGATGGAAATTATAGCCCAGCAATGTCTGAGGATGTGTGTGTGGGAGGCTGCAGGTGCTTCTACTGCACTCTGAGCTTGAGAATGATGCAAGGGAACAGCCATACATTCACTTTCTTGCATGCGCGCACACAAACCCCCCTGCAGTCTGAAATGTTAGAACCCAGCCAATTGAGAGACTCTGCAGTGGGGGCGGTTTGCTTGTGGCCATCCAGATGTTGCTGTGCTCCATTAGTTTGAGACAAGTTTGCTAATGGAGGGGGAAGATGAGAACTGTAGTCCAGCATCACCTGGAAAGCCGCAGCCTTCCCTCTGGTCCACCACCTCCACCATTTTGCCCTGTTACAAGAGGACATAAGAGCACTCAGCTGCCCATTTGCCCTTGCTCACCCCCCTTTTGTTTACACAATCAAGGTGATTTTCAGAGAGTGGCACAGGGCTTGTTTATGCCTCTAAAGCACAAGAGGGCACCCTCCAGTCTGGACCTCAGGTGGCCCATGGAAGTGGCTTGTTCAGCCCATGGTCGCGTGAGTGCTTACTGCCAGTGGCGACCATTGTGTAAAAGTGTGACCCCAAGACGTGAGTTCTGGCACCTTTTTTTTTTTTTTTTTTACAAAAAAAGCACTGGTCAGGAGTATTCCCTCCCCCAATATTCTCTATGACTGAACCACATCCCAAGCAAGCTTAATCTCAAATCTTCTCACTGGAAATATTGCCAGAAAAACAAAAGTTACCTTCAGACTGCCAACCACACCACCCACAAGAAGATATAAGGGAATTAGTGGCTGGACTGGACAGTCATCTAAAAACTTCATGCCTGAGAAACAAGCAAAAGAAAAAGAAATCAGTTTAATGTTTCAAGTGTGGGCTAACCAGCTAATAGGCAAAACAAAAGAGGGTTGAAGACAAAGGAGTGGGGCTAAAAGCCCGGGACACTAGTTTAAAACTCTTCCTGGCACTATTTAAGCTGTAGGAGAAGCATTGCAATGGGGGGGGTGGGTTAAAGGGGGGGCTGCCCAAAAACTGGGAAACCACAAACTGAGTGGTGGCTGGGGGGAAGGAGAGAGAGAAACCAGCTGCCATTCTGGATTATTAACTATAAACATACACAGCCAGCTATATACAACTGATCATAAACATTCTCTGCTGAATGGAGAATCCTACCAGCGTATAGCCCTGTCTGACCATGGACTTGGGTCATGGACCATGGACCATGGATTGCTTAAACATTTTTAAAGAGCTCCCTCAGCATCTGCCGACTTACAGTTGAATGTGACTTACTCTGAGGGAAGTGTTTATAGTATAGCAACCTTAATTAATAAATTTGTCACTATTTTTCTACAGATCTGCATTTATTTTGTTTTAATACCCAGTTTGTACCCATAAGTGTCCTTGAAGGATAACTAAAGCTGGTTTGAACTTTTAAGGAAATAGAATGAAAGACAGATGTTTCAGTTTATATCTTTTGGATACAAAATTAATTTATTTGGTAAACAGCTCACCTGTAAAAGTCATAGAGAGTGGTAATGCCAAGAAAGCAAGGAGTCCAAAAATATAGGAAGCTGTAAGGAAATAAACATTAAATTCAAGGGCCTGGGACAATCAAAAGCTAAAAAGTCCTACCAAATGCTCTCTCTGCCATCTGTTCACACTCCCTGGGCTACATAATGTTTATGTAAGGCTGGACACCACTATGGGTTGCTTTCACATTAGGCCACTAGCCTGGAATTGCTTTCCTGCAGTTCACTCAGTTTTTAGGGAGAATGAAGAAAATACCCTTGCCAAATCATTGCAATGCATTGTTTCCTTGCTATTCATAACTTTCATTTCTACATCTGACCATTCCTTCCACTGTACCCATCTTGATAAAATCTAGTTGAAATAACAACGCATCCAGTGCGGATTACCAAAGCAATATTGAGACTTCTGAGTGCAGTTATGCCTTTAATTAGAAGCTCTCTCCTTTGCACTTAGTAGCCTTCTGTCCTGCTAATTGCATCCTGCTCAGGGCAACCAACATTATTAGCAAATAAATGAATTGTCCCATTGATAATATCCAATGTGTATGTGTGTTTTAATTACTATCTTCCTCTCTGTTTTTCTTGTATAGCACAATTGCATTATTTCACAATAAGAGAAAACCATTGCCAACCCCTGAAGAACAGGAACTCATTAACAACAAGATCAAGGACAATTTATCAGATCCTTTCCTGCGATGCAAGCCAGATTCAGTGGGGCAATAGGCTTGTGCAGGATTGTGCTATAAGAGGGCTAAATACACTCATTCTAAAATGAGGATGTGACTAGAACATTGTAGATTCCTAGATTCTATTCCCAGCAGGCAACTTACCATGGCTGGCAATTTTGGAGATGCACCGGTGGCATGCCTTTTCTAAGCCTGCAGCCATTGCCAATGATAATGTTCTGAAGCCAATAGGAGAATAAGAAAAAACAAGTTGGAGTTTAGATTAAATAAATATTCACTCTCCTAAATTGCACAAACTTGGAGATCACCTAACACATCTCCTGCTCAGTTTAAGATCTACAATGCAGGATGCAGCTACAGCATCCCTGAGAGATCACAGTGCAGACAATGCTTAAACCCTTCAGAAAAGATGAGCTTTCCCACCTGGCCCTTTACAATGCTTCTGCAAGAAGAAGCATAGAAACAGATTAGATTCTGAACAGCCACTCAGATTCCAAGAAAGAAACAAAAATATTCTCTTAACATCCTGTTCATAGATCAGTCACACAAACCCAAAAGCCACCTGTTGATATTCCACACTGATAAAACTGCTGGTGGTGGAAGAAGATGTGGGATACCTTTCCACAATGCAGTGCAAGGGCAGGCAGCTTCCAGGAGCTTGGACTGCGCTGCCTCCCTCTGGTCCCAGTACAACCTTTACAATCTCCCCCTTTCCCAGCTGCTGCTGTTGCCGCACCACAACACTCAACAGCAAACTGCTGCATTTCACATTTCAAAGGAGCCTTTTTCCCTTGTTGCCACAGTGATGGCAAATTTTGATAGTGCAGCAGCAGCAGCTGGGCACAAAAAGGGCTGGCAGCGGCGGCGGGGGGGGGGCGGTGTTGACAACCTTTGCTGTAATGCATCAGGTTCTCTAAGAGAAGGAACAGATGGCAATCCAGAGAATATTTAAGAGATCTTAACTTTAGGATTTGGGGTCCGTGGAATGAAACAACAAATGAAACTATATAAAACAAGTATGAATGACTGTAACTAAACTGCAGGTTACAACAAAGCGTGGCATGATTATTGATCAACCAGCAATATTTGTTTGCTCCAGTTCCTTCAGTCCAGTGTTGCTTCTGCCATGGATGTCCAACATTCTCCTTTGGTGGAAGGCTGCTCTTCCCTGCCTCTTACACTTCATCAGCACACTGCTGCCTTCCTGGAACAGAAGCAGTCCTCCCCTTTGCTGCTGTCCCTTTCCTTCACCACCAACAATCATCTCAAACTTTCATTCCTCATCTCACCTTTCTCACTTGTGTGACCCTTCCATGTTTCACAGGCCACATCCCCAGTCCTTCAGGCCAAGTGCAAAACATCTTTCAGTCCATGCACCAAATTCTAACTTGGAGAAGCTCTCAGGGGATGTGTCCCAGTGGTGGGTGGGCAAAGACAGAAGAGATGTGGACAAATGACCCCAGAATACCAGCACAGCATTGTTTAAAGCTGGTAACTAAGTCTTAGGAGAGGCTTATCCACCCCACTGAGGAATGTTGTCCATGGAGTCCCAAAGAGTTGGGCACAACTGCAACTGAACAACATCCACCCCACAAAATGTTGTGGGGGAAACTACACAAACATTGAAAAACCACCAAACAACCACTGGATGGGAGAAAAGGGGGTGAGGCCAGGAGAAGCAGCCATCAAAGGAATAAGATAGTTCCCTTGGAGGACTGAATTTTGGCCTCACATGCCCTGCCTTAAGGGGCAGGAATTACAGTGCTCAACACAGATCATCATAAGCTGCCTTGTAGAGTCTACAAAGTCAGACTACTAGTCCATCTACTCTAGTATTGTTTGTCAGGGTCTCTTCAATTTACCTGGGTTTTTTTTCTGATCATTTTCCAACTGGAAGTTGCCAGAGATGGAAGATGGGACCTTTTGCGCACAGGGCATGTGCTCAGTCTCTGAGTGCCCTGACAGTGCTCACCTCCCCTACAGAACGGGTGGGAACCAACCTGTGAGACTTATATTGCTGCAAGCATTAACTCTGCCAGAAAGAGCTAAGGTATTCCTTTAATATATACTGTATGTATAGAGAGAGTCCACCACTGCAGAAAGGTGCTGCAGTCCTAACATAAACATACTTAGAACAAGCATGTGCTATCAAAAATTTTATAAGGCAAAAAAGATGGACTGATATGAGGATCGGAGGTGGTAAGTCTAGATAACAGTACCAAAAAGCATCATTCGGGGAGCCAAACATTTCAGTGAGGACCACAGGAAAGGAACATCAAGGACCTCCTTGCTCCCAGGAAGCCTCCAATTTGGCTAATTACTAAGATGACTTGAACTTTTGCAACAAAAACCGCAATTACTTGCCCTGTGATTCAGATCTCATTGGAGGAAAAAAGGCAGTTTCTAAATACAGTGGAATCAAATGAATTTAACATGACGAGGTTTGAAATTCTGCAACCAGCCAAGTGTCCTGGTTTTGCCAGGAGGCCTTGATCAAAATGCAGCCAGTGAGCCACTTTCTTTGAGTGGGGCTTATCTCTCTTTCACTGTCAATTGTCTCTTTGCATGCCTCTTCATGGTGGGGATGAAAACAGGTGAATAATCTGCATAAGATGGGCATATGCCTATTTAGATGTACAGCTGCAAATGTAGAAATAATTTTAATAGAAATACAGAACTCCTCAACCAAATGTGGAAGACTGTGACCAGGTGCTCTGTATCTCTGCACATTCTGTCAGCTATCTAGCTGCTCCTGGTGGGCTACAGTTCATCAGTATCTTTAAACCAGAATTGGACAGGGCAGCCCTTCAACTAAAGGATGGTCCTCTGTAAAAGTGGGCAAGTGGCCAGCCTATCTCTTCACTGGGCCCAGCTTACATCACTGCCCAGAAGAAAGGAGCCAGGCTCTTCCTCCTCCTCTTTGCACTAGTGATGGTTTACAAGGCAGTGGGACCCTTGGCAGCCACCCAGTGATGGCACCCTCTGATGGCAGCTCTGCTCTCAGGAAGGGCCACTTCATTATAATCAGTCTACAGTTTCAGAACAGCTGCCACCTTGGTGGAGAGAGCTTTGAGGAATCATTAGCTCAGTCCTTTGAGCCAATAGATCATTTCCTTGGGCTATATGTTATCACACTACAAAGGGAAAGTAAATGCTTGTCTGTATTACTGTTAGTATTACATTTCTAATTCATCTTTCTTCCTCTTGCAAGATAGTTTGCAAGGCTTTCTTCCTCCCCATTCGGTCCTCATACCAACAGCCCTGTAAGGTAGACTAGGCTGAGAGTCCATGACTGGCTCAAAGTCACTCAGGGAGCTTCCTGGCCAAGTGAGGACTAGAACCTAGATCTCCCAGGTCCTCAGCACAGCACTTTCTCACCTCCCTGGTGTCCTGGCTCTCCAGTGTCCCAAAGATGGTGCAAATGACCCACTTGCTAGGGACACACCAGCCTGAGGTGTGATACCAGTCAAATAAGAAATGTGATAAGATAAATTGCTGCTAGCTGACATCAGCAGCTCAATTTCAGCTGCTTAAGAGCACAGTGTAACATGAAAGCCTGCATATGTCTAAATCAGTAGAATTTGAGCCACATAATATCCAGGATAGACCCTGATTTATCTGTTTTGTATCGCTTATTGTTGAAGATTGACAAGGCAGCCACACACTCACTTTTCCCCCCTCCAAGAGCTAAGAATACTACACAGGCTGTTTCACGCTAGCAATACAACTGCTATTTGCTGTGATAGATAACTTTCCATTGTTTTTCTACTCACCTGGGCATGCCAAAAGAAGGTCTAGGGGAAGAAGATGCAGCTGGGATTCAGCAAAAATGCATGGTGCAAGTTATGCTCTGACTGGTGCAGCTAATCATTGCTTTCAGGACTTTGGCTCTGAAGCAGCAGAGGCTTTTCATTCCCTCTTTCTGAAGCCCTCAGTTTGTGGACCACCAGCTGTTCGTGAGCCTCTGCTTCAAAAGAGGCATCTCCCTTCTGATGCTGCAAGGAACGCTCTTACCTTTCTTCCTTGCACACTCCCACCCTCACTTCATGAAATGAAGCATATCCAGCAAATGCAGGTATTCAATGTGCCACCAGAGGGCAGTAAAGCAGTCCTTAGAACTTCTATGGAAAGTAATTTTCTCTAGAACTCAATTCTTTAAAAATAACTTAATGTGGACATACACACATCATGGTAAAGTGTCAGTTTGCCAACATTAAGAGCATATATATTATTGGCTCCGATTAGGGAATTAGTTGATTCCACTGTCCTCATTTTCTTCTTGGAAATTCCATCCTAGATAGGTAAGAAAGCGATCCAAGTCCAGGATGGTCTACCTACCAGCTACTCTCCTGAGCTTTCTCTGCCCAGGGTGGACAGGAAGATCTACAGATGCATTGAACTTTAGTTCTCAGTGTCCTTGACCACTGGCCATGCTGGTAGGGGGTTTCTAGAAGACCAAAGCATCTGGAGAGCAGTGTTCTGCTCACCCCTGTTCTAAATAACCATTTTCAACTGAAAATTCCAGGGGTTAAACTTGGGGTATTCTTTTTACAAAAGCATGTAGACTACCGCTGAATGTCCCTCATTTTTAAATGAATGTGAAGAGGTTCCAGGTGCTAGAAGGCTGTTTATTGTGTGCAACTAAGAAATTACCTTGGACAAGAAAATAGCCAGCTGTGGGATGCTCCATTGTGCCAGATTCTATGGGCACATCCTGATTAGGCTTTTATTGTGCCTAATTATGCTTTTATTATTTTATCCTGGCCCAGTTGCAGAGCTTTTTTTTTTAGTGGTGGGGGAGATGTTATCTATTTGTGACACTTCCATGTTTTCCCACCACTGCTTCCATCTTTTCCTTTTTACTGCAAAATTTAAGAAGAGAAGTCTGAGTAGGTCCATATTGTCCTTTTGCTTGGAAGCCCTAACTGCATACTTCAGGACTGATCCAAGCCATTTTGCTGCCTCGGGCAAATGGCAAGTTGTCACCCTTCACCTGTACAAAAACAAACCAGGCCAATAGTTGAATCTTCAAGCACTAGCAACAGAAGAGTGTCCTCCACTGCACCTGTGGGGAACAAGCTAGCCTAGGGGTGCAGAGTTCTGCCCAACCTTGCCACCAAGCTCTACTCCTCGAGCGTCTGCCACAAGGCCCACTGGAGGCAACCATCTCACTTTGTGCAGTGGTAGGGCCAGAACTGCCAT